GGATAAACTTCAATAGACTGACAACCCATCCAGGGGGAGAAGGAAAACTGCCAGTCCCATAATGCTACAAAAACTGGGATCAGCTTCGGCTGCATGGGCCACTTGGCTCCAAGTAGACTATACTCCTTAAGCTTACCCAGTTACATATTAAGGGAAAAGTTTCTTTGTTTTTTTTACTTTCTTTTTCTCTAAATGTCAAGCATAGACACTGTGTCCTCTTCACTTGAATGTGACATTGGAGAGAAACTACATGTATTCAACACAGATTTTACTCTTCAGAAAACTGGGGTCTGAGCAGTAAAATCTTTAAAACACATAGACATACAAAGACAATGGCCTCTACATGATTGTATATTGTTCCCTGCCTAATGGGGAGTGCCTGTACTTGCAGGCGATGCTGCAAACAATCTTTTTCAAAACCCATTAGTTACTTAGTATCAAAACAGAATCACTATAAAGTTACGGAATAAAGAAAACTGACCTGATTTTGTTTGCTGCGTAACTGTGGAGACCCCACAAGAGATTTTAAGGGGGAATTGGTGAAAAAAGCCTCCACTGGTGACTGGACAGTTAAAGGTGATGGCATGTGATCAGAATCAAGGTCTAATTTTTGGCCTTCTACTAAATTCACTGCAAAAAAAAGAAGTGAGATGAAATGGTTGGCAAGTAAGTTATCTAGAAGTGGTACTTTCTCCACCAAGTATCACAGCACCAATTAAAAAATTTCCATCTTTTCTATACTTTGTAAGTTATCTTGAAATACTCTAGCCTATGTTAGGCTCTGCTGTAAAAACAAAGACAAAAACAAAACCATTAACAAAGAAGAAATGTTTTCTGAATCAAAGTTTGAACAACTCTGCCTATCAAAAATTCCTGGATCTGCCTCTACCTATTTGGCAATTGTTCACCCAAGTGGGATGGCTAGCAGAGGACATTTACATGTACAGAGCCACAAAGCAGTAAGGTAAATATCCACTACTACATAGCCATCTAAACTGAAGTGAATACAACTTGTAGTTGTTTTAGTTTATTCTAAAACAGTGAGACATTACAGCACAAAAAGGTGATTTAAATTTATTTCATCTGGCAAGAAATTTCAATTATTTTGGGCACAAATTCTTAGAGTGAGTAGCCAATCAGAGAATGCCTTTGACACTACCAACTGTTTTAGTATAATACTATTAGTGTAATTGCTTCATTGATCATAAAGATGCATACACTCTGATTGGTCCAGGACTGCGTCATAACTCACTATAATCACCTTGTGTGAGGTGATTATATTGATACGAGTAATCAAGAGAATTGTAACAAAAGATATGCAAATGTTTCCTTCTTTACAGAATGGTTTCAACAACAGAATGAATTTACAACAGAATTCAAAAGCACTTGTTTGAGCAATCAAACTGAAACATTATTTTATTCACCTTAGGCTCAGCAAATATTGTTAAATAATACTTTTACTTCATCTTGGGATTATTAAACAATATTTGCTTTGCCCTCTTGTTGAATAATTTTTAATATCACATATATGTCCATCAATTGACCAATATGTTCACCATGGCTATCTAATGTAGTACAAAAGATGCATTTCATCTAAGAAACACATTATTTTAGCTGCACACATTCTTTTTACTCTCTGTTATTTCAATCCCTGTAAAGCTACATTCATGTACAACTCACCTTGTTTGCTTAAAATGTTAGCAAAGGATTCAGCTGTGAGACAACCTTGTTCCATGTCAGTAAACACAGATTCAATCAGGAATTTAAAACTGAACTGATCTTCAACATCCATTTTGGTAATCTGATCCACAAATACAGCTACATTATCACACTGTGTTGCTCCACAAAGTAACAGTGTAATAACCTGTAGAAGAAGAAAATCATGAGGGTATAAATTTTTATGACCTTTGACCTTGCAAGTACACATGCTGTTTGAAACAACCTCTAGTGATCCACAAGGTCTTAACCCTTTCACTCCCAAGATCTGATTGTTAATTCTCCCCTCTAACTGGCACACAATTCCTTGTAAATAAGTTATGAGAATTTGGTGTTAGATCAAGGTAACAACTTCTTCCTGATAAGTTTGAGTATTCTCATTACCTGGTGGCTGGATAATGTACAGATATTATAGGGAGAAGTTGCAAGTTAATCACTTCTGGGAGTTAAAGGGTAAAATGTCTCACAGCTCATGCCAAGCCTGGTAAATATTGGGTGGAAAGAAGTTCAAAAAATTTTTAAGGCAGAAAAAATTATAAAGTTGACAGCTACCAGAAGTTTGATCCTCACTCTAACATTGTTATTTTCAGAGAAAATAGGTGGTCATTTGTGCTGACATACAGTAGACAGCAAATTCCACTAGTTAACAACTCTTATTGAAACCCCTGGGTGGACACAAACAATTTAGCAGTTCAATCATAGGTGAGACATTTTTTTCATTTGCCAAACTTGTTTATCAAGCAAACATATAACATTTCATATACTCATCTAAGAAGATCATCTAAGAATGAAAAATAATAAGAGTAAAAAAAGGGAATCAAGCAACCTTTGCTATTTCTAGTTCATTTCTGTTCCTGAGATAATCTTCATTTATAACAGAGTAAAAGTCCTGGCAGTGAAATCCTGAAAGGAAGAGAGTTAAACACAGAAATTTTTTCATGTGCTTACTAAATAATGTTCATTTATTTCACATGAATGGGCAAAAATGTGCTAAATTATCTCATTATATTTATCATTAATTTCTCAGGGACCCACTGAGAAGAAGCCCATGTCACATTTCAGCCATGAAGCCTGACCCCCCTATGACTAAGCCCCTGGTGCTGAAGTGAGAATGACAGTCTATGCACAAGTTAGTAACTATGTGTAATCAAAAATTTGCTGCCATCATAAAATTTGTAATATATGGTCATCACTGTTTTCTGCTCATGGTCATTCTCTCCACAAGCCTTAATATATTTTCCAAATATTAACAGTCTTCAAAAGCAACCCAAGTTAAATCTCAGCTCATTACTACGCTCTACTACCCATTGATTTTTTACAACTTTCAATTGTCTAACCCTCTCCCCTGTTTCAACATTTACATATACATAGCCTCTTGCAATATTGATTGGGAAAAGAGGATTTTTTGAGTAACTTTCTAATTATGAATTACAAGGTTTCTGTTCATCATGTTGATTGAAGGGTTGTGGACCACCGAGTGAGGGGAGGGTGCAAACTACATGTACCTTTCCCCACCCATTGCAGCTAGTAGCTATAAAATAAATTTGTTAATACATAATACAGGTCACAAGTTTCAGGTCTGCTTATACAGCAGAACCCTGCTTTGTTGCAAACTCAGTAATTTGGTCACCTAAAAATTACAGCCACTTTTTATGTCCTGGCAAAACAGGAATACACCTTCTTATAAAAAAAAACCCTCATTAACATTCTAAAATCCTAAATAGTAGAGTCCTTCAAAACTTCACCCTCTAATACAGCCACTAGCACTTCAAATAAAATGCCTGTGACATGTCATTGTCATTGTTCTCTGTCATTTCCTAATCAAAGAGTGATTTTACTTTACAGTCAAGTAAGAAACCCTCCTTCTTTATTTATTAAAATGTTAAAGGAAAGTAAATCTTGACCTTAACATTCTCTTGGGCAAACTGCAAAGTGATAAAAAATAAAATTTGACCCTATCCCAGTGATACAGCCTCCTGTATGGCAATTTGTTTTGGCCCATTGGTGACAGTATTAACAGGGTGCCTTAACATAATTGCCAGTTGTATATTTGATTTAAACTTAATCAAATTATGACTCTTACATACCCTTTAGGTAGGAGATAATCAGTGACAATACTTGCTCAAGTTGGAATTCATCACTGCCACCTGGAAGATCTTTGACTGTTTCCTTGTCACTAACAGTTACAATATGGATGACAGGGATATTTAAGTGGTGTTCAGAAGTATTGAAAAGAGTAACAAACACAAAATTTTGAAAGCAAAGAATTGGGTGGCGTTTAAAATAGAAGAAGAAATAAAACATAACAAAATTAATATAGGCAACACAATAATGCCTTGTTGTGAGGAAAGACTGGTAACCAAACCGTGTTGTTTGGGAATGCAGAAAAATGTGAATAGCTACGTGTACGTGTGGTACAAAACAAATTTCAGACTCAGGTTTCCGTCACTTATAATTACAGCGCACATAAATCAAAACTATGTACCGATGAGTAATGTGAAGGATAAACAAATGTATCGAATGAGTTTCGTTTGTCGAAGCCAATTCATGGATTTGGGGGAGATTGAGGAAGCAACATGAAAAATACAAGATCAAATCGCCTCCCAACGAACGTACATGTACATGCATGTAGCTTCACCGACTCTCGCCGATCCTCGTCTTTTATAGCTGGTGGATGCAATGGTAAATAGAGAGAAGATTTTTTTTATACTTAGTACTTACATTAGATGTATAATCTTGAGCAACAGGTTTTTACTTCCCGGATCCGTAATGTTCTCGATTTTCTCTTCTTCGCGTGAAGCATTTGCATTGATCTGTAAATTATCAAACAAAGACGGGAAATGAAACAAGAATAATTTGCGTTAATTTTGCTGTAAATGGTAAAAATTTCTTTATATTTCAGTCAGTTCTGCAAATGGGAAGAGATCAAGAGAAATGTATGCTGACGAATGTACAACTCGAATGAAGTTTTAATTTGGCTACGAGCACTTTTAGTACATTGGAAATGCGAAAAATAACGGATTACTCACCCAGTTCAACAAAAACTTGGAGCTGGCCTCATTCATTTTGGAACTCCCAAGGAGCTTACTCCGCAGAATACGTTAAAATAGTCCAAACAGAAGCAAGATCGAGAAAACGCACAAATCGAACCGCAAAATAGAATGTAAACTGCTCAGAAGATTTGGCGGTTGATTTTGAAATTGACACGATTAATCCCACAAAGCTTAGCGCGGTGTGAATGTGTGTGTATGTGCGGCTGAGAAACCAAGCCTGCTACGATTAAATTTCCTGTGAGAAGATTTTGCAAGATCCGTCGTATGTGAAGTATCGTGCCTCGAACTATTTTCAGGTTTTGAAGACATTTGGTTCCCTGAAACTAGCTTAACTCTTCGTTAAACAGTCTGTACTAGCCTTCCAGGAATGGGGTGCTGTTTCAGTGGCGAGGAGAGAACTGATGGCTCTGTAAGTGAGGTTTTCATGTTTCTTTTTCGTATAGGATCAATTTGTCATGTGACTGTCAGTCTTTTTCGGGGCCTGAGAATCGAATATTATTTTTTTCGCCTTCTTTGTAGATTTCTTTATATCTTTTCTACAGGTATATGTATTGTGCCTGTGTGATTATTCGTGTAGTTTGGAACCTCTGTTGTCTGTCGTCTGATTATCGTAACGTACATTGTAATAATGCAATGATCAAAAGATCCTAATAAACTTTAGCCGAAACTTAACTGAGCTGATCTGTATTTTCTAATCATAGTGAGGTGATTATGATAGAAAGCACTGTTAGAAAAAAATTCAATAGTTTACGTCATTGGGTCAACAATCACTCAGTGATTACAATATTATACTCTTTATAAGTGATCTGATCAGGTCTGCCTCTTCGAATTAGGTAATTAAAATAGCAGCGTATAAATCTTACTAGGCTAAAATGTACCTGATTGTAAAGTTATTCAAGAGATTGACTTATCTACAAAATTGATGTGTATTTTCTGCAGAGGCAAGCAACTGAGAGAGATCCATTACTAGGAGGAACATCAACACCAATTACCAATGGACAGAGACCAGTGTGAGTTGATTATTTCGCATTTGCTATTATTTTGTATGATGCCATTTAGCTGCTTAGGCCAGGGAGGAAAGATAGGAGGTCTTGTGACCATCTAAGTATTGTCTCATTGCAATATTTCAAGGTTAGAGAACCTCCAAAAGCACAGTGTTTTTATTTAATTGGCATACCTTTTAGCTCAAAGTACAGTCAACTCTCGCCCTGCAGACACCTTGCTATTACAGACACCCTGCCATTGTGGACAAGAGCCAACCCCCTTCCCACTCCTCAGCAAAATGCATAAGGAACTGACTGAAATAAACTCCTGTTATTTCAGTTTCTCGCTATCACAAAAAGGAAGACACTTTTATGCCCTCCAGCACAGTATTTCATTTGTATTTTCTTTCTCTGTTCTGGACACTTGAGAAACTTGTCCAAAACCTGACTCACACATTATAAAGCAACATTAAAATAACAAAAGAAATCATTTTTTAAAATGGGTGCAAACAGGAGAATTTCCTGCTTGCAGCAGCCAGATCTTTTTCCAGTTTATAAGGCGACATTTAAAAATATATGTTTGCTTAGTTACTTATTATTTCATATGTTTAGAGACCAAACAATTGTTTTTCTCTCGTACCCCACTATTACGGACTCTCAATCTCCTCTCTGAGGGAGTCCAAAATAATGGGAGTTGACTGTTTAAGGTTTTACCTTTGCTGTCACCCTCAATCTCTCTGAAGAATATTTCTATCCAGTTCAGCACGGGAATGAGCTACACTTGTAATTAGCCTATGTGTAGCTGTACCCTCCCGTCCAAGATGAAACAAAGGCCAGGGAACGTCTACGCAAACCTGGCACTAATTGAGTTCAGTTGACCGGTTTTCTTCTTGAGAAGAGAGGTGATCAATCACTGGCACTGCTTGATATATTAAAGAATTCTCTATAGCCAGTTGGTAACAAAACAGAAACATTGTTACCTTTGAAAAACATATCTATGGCTTTCTGCTGTTCTTCTTGAAATGTCTCTGGCCCAAAAGTCATGCTAACTTGCCTTAAAACCTCATCGTAGATGGCTGTTGTCTGAGAAGTTGTCTATGAAAGCATTTTTTTCACCATCTTGTTTGCAGTGTTCTCCTTTTCAGGTGGTAACCAGTAACATTTACCGTCTTTAGTACCTCTTATTACTGTTTAAAATTGCTTGGAATTCTCATTTTACCTGTCATGCTTAAAATAAGGGAGAACACTGTGTTTGCTAACTAGTGTCAAAATAAATTACCAACTTTAGCCAATCAGAATTGAATCAAAGTGCTCTGTGAGCAAACTCATGAATTGACAGGTGACTAACATGATTTTTTGGATTATGTTTAATGTTATCTGGTTTAAGGAATTTGTAGTTGATTGTCATATTTAGAGTATGAGCAGTAGTTCAGTGTTCACTAATGTAGCAAAGAAACAAAGTAACGTTGGGATAAGAAGGCATTACAATTGAAATGATCATGCTATTACATTTGACAAGGGTGGATGATGGCATGTGTTTTAAACATATATCATTTTTGTTTCTGGTTCAAAAGGAAAGGTTGGAAGTAAATATGGGTGAAAAGTGAAATTTACAGTCTATCATTGTAAATATTGGAAAATCACGTCAATACTGTCTTAATGACAACATTAATGATTCCCTCTTTATCAAATGAGACAAACAGGAATGAGTTTTGAGTACTATAACTAAGCCCAGACTTCCACCGTCATTTTGGATTTTAATTTTATGAAAAATGAAGGTTGTTCTCATTTCAGTGTGAATCCTCGCACACCTGCCAGTCACTGGCACTGCTTATTGAAACTAAAACGAAAAAAAAAATCCTTTTAAGATTATCATTGGCTTCTTTTTCACCCCACCATTATTCTTAGCAATAAAGGTTGCCATTTTGTTTGTTTATTACTTGCCAAAAACTATCAAATGCACTCAAAAGCCTAAAACAAAAAAAAAGATTTACAGGAATCGATCAAGCTACATCATATTTACAACTCGCTCTTGCACATGCACACAATTCACGAGTTAAAAAAGAATTGACAAAAGGGGTTAACCAATAAACAGTCATTATATTTTTCTTTTTTCGCAAAAGAGGGACATCATGGAACACAATAAGTGTTAGGTTTGCATAGACATTTCCTTGCCTCCATTTCACCTGGGGGGTGGAGGGTATGGCTACATTTGTTATATGAGCCTAGAAATTTGGGTCTTTATCAAGAGGAGACTTAGTTGTTCACTTTCTCACTAATTTTTATGAATTTAAAATATCTTGTCGTCTTTTTTTTTTTTCCGAAATTGCTGAATGAGCAGAGTTCCAAAACACAATCACAAAACTTCTCTGATGGGAACTTATTAAAAGACATGTGAACCCAAACAAAAAAATAAAACATGTCCACCCATTCAAGTAAATTTATGTTACTTTATTTGTTGTATGGTGAAATTTACTTGTAACCTAAACTCTATGTACACTGAACTTAACCCAGTTTATCTGGCTTGCATCTTAATACAACAGGCATGGAACATTACAGATTCAATGATATATTAAGTAACTTAATTGTTTTAAGAATGCTTGCAATTGAGAGGACCAGTTAGCACTTATACTAGTTAACAATAAACAACTGAAACATTCATGTTATTCTTAGTCTGTGACTTGGTTTCATTTTCAGTGATGATGTACTCAACCATAGTTCTGGCCCAATATCCAAGACAGATGAACAATCATTATTAAGCAGAATACTTCATCAAACTGCACAGTATGTAATTTTTCTTGTTATAATCATCTGTCATCAAACTGAATGAGTATGAATCTTGTGTTTGCACATTGGAGGGTTGTACATGGCTATAAGAGCTGGGAACTGGTTTACTTGCCTGGCTAGTTGTTGTAAAGGATTTTGTTGGTCACTCAATCAGCCTTGAAGCCAAGACTATGTCAAAAGGATAATTTAACCATTCAAAATTTTGCTTATTACCGTAATTTCCGGTCGATTACCCGCGGGTAATCTGTTGATTTTGCATTAAATCCGCGCCACTGCGGGTAATAGGGAGGTGCGGGTTATGTGACAATTTTAAATTCTTCTGGAAGTTGAATTGAAAAAATTTCTCACCTACCTGCGTTTCCACCTCTCAAATGAATTTTATTGTATCAAAAGTGCCACAAAGCGGCATGAAAACATGATGCCAACTCGAGTTTATTTCACGCATAATTAGTTGCGTGACAAACAAATTTTTATTGGCACGCGTGAAAACAAAACCTTGATGGTGACAAAAATAATCCAAGGATATCCGGCGCATCAGTAACAAATTTCCAGTTTTCACTAGCTTGAGCTAAAGAGAATTTTCCCGTTTTAAGGGACTTGTTAGGCCCAGTAGAACAGGAGATATCGATTTTTTTGAGAAATTGCCGACAGTAATTTTAAATCCCAAATGCATCACCAGAATGTTGAAAATAATAGGTGCGAAACTTAACTAATTTCGCGCTGAAAAAGTATTTTAACGACAAATGAACAATGGATATTGCTCATTACGCTCCTACATGCTATAAAAAGGTAACTGACTGAATAAGAATTATAAACCTCGATTATTCGCGATAAGTGTATCCACGAGTCACCAATTAAGTTAAAATGCCTGCTGTGAAACGCCACAGTTTTACGTTTGATTATAAGCTTAGAGTAATAACTCTTGCCGATGAAATCAGTAATAGAGCAGCAGCAATAATCAATCAATAAAGTATAAGCTAATATTGACACAGAATTGTGCACATGTCTGAATCGAAAGACTGAAATGTATCGCCTTAATGTCACGTTTTCGCCACCGAAAAAGTTGAATATATCCACCAGTGCGGGTAATCCGTTGACTTTTTTTTTCGCCGTATGCAATAATCGGCCGGTGTGGGTAATCGGCCGTGCGGGTAATCGACCGGAAATTACGGTATATCAGCCATTAAGCCAAGACTCTCTGAGGAAGATTAATGAGTACAAATTGATAAATTCTATGAATGTAAAGCTTTCTGTACAAACTCCATCTTATATTTAACCACTGTATCATCCTGTTTCAAAGTTGGTGAAAACCAGAAACTTGATTTCAGTTCTCCATGGGATACCATCAATATTGTCACAAGACACGCGTTACCCGACTGTACAGCTTAACCCTTTCACTCCCAAGATCTCTTTACTAATTCTCTCTACTTTCTGCCATAGAATTTGTTATGATGTTAGTTTGGAGAATTTGGTTTTCACCCAATAATCCTGAAAATTTGTTTTTTTTTGTGATTCTCCTACTTATCTGCTTGATATTGTATTGATATTTTAAGGAGATATTCTCTCATAATCACTCATGGGAGTCTAAGGGTTAGATGTGACATAAAATTGTTTGAAATTTTCACAGTCAAGGATGAAATGAAGAAAAGTTTTGAACTTGAATGGTATGAGTCTTGCCTCCTCTTGCTTTGAATGGAAACAGAGCCTGTACAACTTAAGGATTTGAACTTCTACATTTTGAATTTTTTTTTTGTCAGGTGATCCTCAGAACATAATCATGTGACACATGCAAACTAATAACATTACTTATGTTGCAGCAAAGTCATAGATGTCTCCTCAACGGAACCTCACAGTATAGAAAGAACGGAATACATGGAAAGATCCAGACAGTACATGTAAGTGTATTGACACTGAAAACACAACAGCATCATTGGATATTCTGATGATGAAGGGGCCGAAACAATTTTGGTGTGTTGAAATACATGGATCAGTTCATATAAATATGACTGAATTTCATAATGCTTAATGTACAAAATACTTCTAGATGATCTTAAAATTTTCTCAATTGAATTAAGTGTACAGCATGATAATACCTGCAATTGCGAAAAATGTAAAGGAAACTCTGCCTAGTGCTCAGTCAATGGGCTATAATAAGATGATTCTTTTGTTGTTTTTTGTAAATTGGCTTCTGTAAAGAGTTTCTCAAGCTGACATTCAAGCATTAGTGCTTCCCTCTGCAGTTATTTTAACACTTAGGTTATATTGATAGAATTATGCACCCAAACTTAGCCCTTTAACCCCTAAGAGTGACTAGTATCTTATTTCTCGTTTCAGTATCACCACTAGTAAATCACACACTGATATCATGAAAATAAAAAGGAAATGATCACCAACTAAAGAAACTAACTCTTGATCGTTTGACTAATTCTCCTTGTCAGCATCTTAGTAAATGTTCAGAGAACAGTGTGGAGAATATGAATACTGATGTAAGGGTGTAAAGGGTTAATATTGATCTTTCACTAAGAAAACTCTAGTTGGCCAAGAAAATTATCTTGCAGGGTGAAATGTGAACTCTGTAGAATGAGTAAATAACAATTACATTTGATAAGAGCTAATTATGCAAAAGCCCTAGTGACATTAGCACATTGGATTTAGTCTGAGTCTCCATGACCATCTGACCATGCAGCCACAGTTCTTGTTAACCTTTCACAAATGTTATTGGGCTTCCAGGTCAAAATTATCTGCTGTTAATGGTTCAGCACTACATAACAGTTCCAATCTTCCTGGTGGAGTGAAGGCACCTTCGTCAGTGTTAGCTAGTGAACCAATACCACAAGGAGATGTAGCATTTGTAAGTGTTTGATTACTGTTGAAGAATCCAATGGCCAAATCACGTTTTTGTGTCCCAAACTAATTGAAACCATCCTGTCATTACAAAAAACTCTCCATGGCATAGTGCTAGCATGTTACAAATCCAGGAATCAGCTGGTAAGATTAAGTCTGCTTGTGGGAACAGTTCTGGGAAAAAAAAAAGGGATTGTCAAAATTATAAGGAACATTAAGAAATGGACACCAGAACTGTATTTGTTTACCCACTTAAATACTTCTCCCTCCTGAAAAATTCAAGTTGTTTAAAACATACATGTATACATGTACTATCTTTGAAAGGAGGTAGAATGGAACTGCAACAACCTATTTTTCTCTTGAAGAATGGTTTTAAAATCTAAAGAGCAAAAACACAGAGGTTTTAATGAAAGGGGGTTACTAACAGTCTACCGCCACTTGTAAGACTTCTCACCACTGTCTTAGTACAAAGCAGGCTGCATTTCTCTTTACAACCACCTACATTTGTATTACACTATCAGCAGCCACATGTGTAAAAATTTACTGTAACCCCAATGTTTTTTTAACCAAATCTTACATTGAGATTTTGAGAACTTTCACAGTCATGTTTTGGTATCAGTTCTTCTCTAAAGCAGGGAGTTCTTATTCTCAGTGGTAGTGTTACCATTTTTGTTTCTCATTGGAATCTGTGAAATGAAACAAAACATGAAAAAAACAATGTTGCTTTATTTCAGGCAATCCAAGCAGCCAAAGGAGCAGATGCATCATTGTCTGGGTTCCATGTTGAACATAGAGATGCCCTTGTGGTACAGTTTGAATCATCTTAGGAATTTCTGATGTTGTAGAGAATGAAATATTTATTGAAATTGAACCTTCCATTATTGAGCCTACCAGTAATTACAAGTAATTTCCAGAGCAACTTACATAAAAAGATAAGTAAAAACAGTAAAAGGAGCAGGGAACAACTTTGGTTGAGCCTCCACAGCCTCCTGCCTCTCAGCTGCACCTCTTGCCACTCCCATAGGGGCAATGAAAACTAGTCCCATGGAATTTTTGCTGAACAGTAATAGATTTGAAACTGATAGGAGTAGGTGCTGGACTAAAACAAAAATTTGTCAATTAGTAAACAAGATTTTGCATTCAAAGTGACCATAATTATGGATATTTAATTCAGAGAGTAATTCTTAATTGATTGTCAAAATACCTGTAGGCAGGGTATGGGTTGGTTTTGCTTTACTCTACTCTGCTTTTTGGTACAGGAAACTTGCATTGCTTTTTCAACTGAGCATATTCAATATTTAATGGAAAAATATCTTGCTTACACTGAATTTTCCTGCACTTTAAATTTGTTAAACTTTTTGCTCTGATTCCTCAAAGCAATCTTGTTCTTTTTTAATTTGATTACATGTACTTGATCTTCATTGTACATCACCAACCTGAAAGGCATTCTGCTCTTATTTTATGGGATAAAATTTTGAACATGGTAAGGAAACCTTTTGGAACTTTTCATGTGGTAAAAATATGACTCATGAAAAGTTCAAATTGCAAAGCAGGTTGGGAAGGAGGTGGGGTGAGCAAGGGAGAGAAGTGGAGGGGAGGGGAAAGGGGAGTGTGTCTCGCAGCCCAAAAAAGATGGAAAAGATGTAAACTTTAAGCCTCAGTGTGTTATGGAAATATATTTTATGAGTATTTCACTGAAAATTACTTCATAGGATTTAGCATGTCACACCTGGGAATTGATATGCCGTGTTCAGTAATGAGTGATGCTACGTTGTTTTCTTGGTAAATGTTTACAGGTATTTCTTAATTAAACTCAAAGCAAAAATAGCAAAGAAAAAAAGATTTAAGCTGTCAAAGATAGTTTAGAGAGGTATTCCGATTTTCAAAAACATCAAACAATTTCCTGCTTGTAAAAGCATTCTTTTTTTTATCCATCAACTCTCAGAGGTAAAGTAACTTCCATGTGGCTTCTAAGAATTTTAATAAAAAAATCCTTCAAATTGGTGATCAAAGTAAGCAGATTTACAAACAAAGTGTTATCCTTAGAGAACATCATATGGTCCTATCTTATTTACAAGGACATGTGTGGCAGCGGGGAGGGGAAAGTCATCAATCTCATTTTATGATTTTAAGGGTTATTGCAGAGCTTGCCTGGATGTCAGGGACCAGAGGATTTTGGTTGTATTGCTGTAAAATTTACTTGATCCCCCTCCTCTCTCAGGTGATAAATAACGACTGGTCTTAGAAGGGGTGGGGGGTACTTGTGCAAATCTACTAGAGTTGGTTTGCCATCTTTCTCATCTGTTCACCTTGGAATCATAACATGTCATTTCCTGTACCCATTTCAAACCTGGTTACTAAAATCCATACGGTGCTACTTATAGTCAGACCATAATCTTAAACTATACCCTTTTGGGGCACCACTCACCCCTTTCCCTACCTCCCTTTCCCACCCCTCCCTTTCTTCCTCTTACACCCCCCCCCCCTTCATACTCATGTTATCTGAGTGCAATAGGATACTTTTTGATTTACCCTGATACTATATAAAATATGCTGGAATCAGCTTGCATAATCAATCTCAAAAAGTCATCGCACCAGAAATAGAAAAGAAAAGGAAAAAAGAATGAGGAAACAAAGCCACTGACTATACCTATAAGGGCAGCTAAAGCTGGGAGCCCTGCGGAAGTGCATAGGGCCCTGTCCTGTATCAGTTAGAGTGGCTTCGTTTTTTGTTTTTTGTTTTTTTTACATGAAAACGTTAATATGAATAAGGTTGTAAACCAATCTCTGCAGCGGCGCATTTTTACATAGTGGGATCCTTGTGTAGGATTATCATTTAAACTTTGAAAACTGTAGAGTTAGGTGTAACTTATACTGTTCATAGATTATTTTGATTAAAAAAATCACACATGGAACGATGCGTGTACGTTTTTTTTCCTTCCTATTTTTGGTTTGTTTATTTGTTTTATTTTTTTTTGTCATTGTCTCGTCCTTGTTGTTTTCCTTGTTGTTTTTTTTCCTCTTAAGAGGCGGAATATTATTAGGGTACAACTCAACTGGTCAAATTAATGAAAAGATTCCTTGTAGGTGCCTAATTCTGACGCAAGTAAATTGTAGCAAGAAAGAGAGAGGAGATATAAAATGAAAAGCACAATAACCGTGTTACTCTGAGAGGTGATTAGCATGTAACTTCTCGCTATAATAATATCCCTACATCATCCAGCAAACAGATAATGAGAATACTCAAACTTAACAGGTAGAAGTTGTTATCCTGATCGAACACCAAATTCTAATATCTTAATTACGAGGAAATGTCTCGCAGCTAGAGGGAAAAATTAACTGTCAGATCATGCGGCTGGAAACACGTGCTCTGTTAGTTGTCTTTTCAGTTGGGAGGCGGGGCAACGTTGCATGCACGAACTTCAAGTTCCATGACTAATTAGCTCTGTTGATATGAGATCAAATTCGTGTGGCAAAAGAACGGAATTTTGCGCAAGGACTGATTGAGTACAAAAAGGAAGAGGTGTCGGTTTATTGGAATGCACTCGTTTGAAATTTTAAAAAGCTCCTCTGTGGTTTTGAAACGGCATAGACGCGATAAGAGGCTCGTTTTTCAATGGTGCAGTTGCGTTTGCAAGTGAGGTTTGGAATTGTGAACTACCTCGAAAGTTGAAAAACATCCAGCAGTCAAAGAAGAGGACGCACTCGGCAACTAAAGAAGCTACCACAAAAATGGAAACTTCTTTGAGAAACGACCAGAAAACTCCGAAAAATGTGACCGGAACAAAGCACAACTTTTCGTCGTCGGGCAGAACAAGTCCAGCACAGGAACAACCTAAAGTTTCAACACTAGATGGCAGTGATGCTTCGCCTCAAAAGAGCCCAAGCTCGGCTAACAAGATAAAGAGTTTCTTTCAGGATTTACAGCGCGAGTCCCGCCACGCTCTGACGAACAAGAAAGCCAAAATAATCCAGTTGTGGGAAGGAAGAAGATGGCGGCGAATGAGCTTGGAAGAGGTTGAGCCTTTTGCTGAAATGGAGGAAAAAGAATTATCATGCTACGGAGAGACTGAGCGTTTGGGATGCAACGCTGGTACAGATGACAATTCTTATACGACCGGAGGACATGTCGACGGCATCATGGTCGAAAATCGCTGCTAAAGGTGACAATTTGTAACTCGCTTGAGAGTTACCTATCTAAAAGAAAATCTTAATTTAAATGCTATTGATATAAGTTATTCATCAATTCTTGTGTTTCAAGAATGATTCTTCGGCTCATTAGAATGTAATCAATTTTGAGGAAGAAGATTCGAAATTTAAGACTAAAGGTTAAACGCCCATCTCTCCCAATGTTTGTGTCGAATACTAGTAATCACTTCACACTGTAATAAAATCATTGTTAATTAGTAAGTTCTGGAGTGTGGATTTGTTTTATTGTTAGTATCTTTGAGATGATATAGAAATAGGATATAGTTCGTGACATGAATTTGTTTATCTCATCAATGAATCGATTTGATTTAAGCGCAAGTTGTTCCTTCAGTTTAAAATTCGTACGCTTTGCGGACCTTCTTTGTGCTCGTTTTAGTCCAACTCCAGGATGATCCTGAGGAATAATTATTTTAGGACTCATTATTTCACATCCTAACTCATGTTTTGACGCTCCATCAACTGAACGACGTTTGAAGTCTTACAAGGTATGTCCATTGCATTTTAGCCTCTCCTTTTTCTTGAGTTTGACCAATAGGGATCTTCCAGTTATATTATTCCATCGTTAAGTTCCACAAGAAACAAACCTCCTACAAAAAAAAAAAAGACTTCCTGAAATACAGACGAACATACACTAACAGCAAACTCCCTATGTCGGCCATTTTATTTCCCTGTGTTTTAAGGGAGACATGTACAACGCCCAAACGGCTAACTCGCCGAACTCCGGATCAAAAAGTCTGAATGAATACATTTCTGGACACATCTTTCTTCTTGGCTACGAATGCCCGGTTTAAAGCTTATGCGAAAACTTTGTATGATAATATGACCTCACAGATTTATGCGTAGCCATTTTCTGGTTCGGGTAACAGCAGAAGTTGAATCGTGGAAAAACAAGGCTGAAAAAGAACAGTCCCACCCCCAAATTTGATCCCAAATTTGGTAGGAGTGGTTAATAAGTAGCCTGTAAAGATCCTAAAAATTGAAAAAACGGGGACTGATTCGACCCTTGTTCGGGTTATTGTGCTGAATTATTGTGCAAGAGGCTTTTGTATTAAGGTGCCACTCCTTAACACAGAATATGTATTAGAGAACTGTTGTTGAAACTTGGCGAATGCTGAATAAGGGAGAAGAGAGCTACATATATTCATCCCATAAGTGGAGGAGTGTTAATACACCTCGTTACGTAATGCTAAGCTCTGATAGCAAAGTGAGTCAGCCTTGGAAAACTTTTCTTGGGGGTGGGAATAGTATGGCAAAATGAGATCAGCCCTCTAAACGAAAAATACCCACACAATATAAGTATTCCTATCAGAGTCAGTTTGATTGATTACTGTAAACCTTAAAATAAATTAATCTCAACGGTATAACTAATGTAAATATCACAAGGAGGTCTAATGGAGGGGGGGAAGGGAAAGATTCAAAACGTGCGCGCCTACACGCTAATACAAGGGCCTCCTCGCACGCTTCCTAGGAATACTTTTCATTCTCCTTTGAAAATTTATCCTTTTGATTATTTGTGACAAAACTCTTCAGGGAGAAGTTAATTAGATTAAGTTGCCATGAGAGCAGCTAAAAAAATAGGCCCTGAATTCTTGTGTAAGACAATTTCAATCATCCACACACAATCCGGGTACTATAACTGTTTAGTCACAGGAAGAACACGAGCCTGCTGGATACAAGTAAAGGCAACCTACTATATGTGGACCTCTTCAAATGAGACCTCTCGACCGAAAAGTAGTCTTCTTCTGTTGTTGTTGTTGTTGTTGTTGTTTCTTTTTGAAACGCCGATGTGGAACAACTTTTCACTCCCCCCCCCCCTTCCAAGATAACACTCTTTAAGTCCTTTAACTATAATTTCACACCAAATCAAAGAACACTATAATTTTTACTCTGAAAGATAATCGAATATAACCAATAAATGGAGACAAACGCCAAAAAAAAGGCATCAACTAAAACAAAACAAAACTAAAACAAAGCTGTCTTTAAAATATTTACAAGTCCAATTTCTATTCTTTATTTCTTCTTTTTTTTTTTTGAGCCCGTGAGGAATATTTCATTGGCTGTGAAGAAAAAAAGGTCCTAACTTACTACAAAAAAAAGAAACAATGATCACGCTGAAAGAATCACATCAGAATAATTGCTGCGCAATATTCAGATTCTACTGCAAAACATGGATTACACAATTTGTATAATCGTAAACCAACAACTTATTATCTTCAAAAGCAGCGATGCAAAAGGGAGATATATTTCCTTCATTAAACGAATGAATATATTTTCCATCTAAAGAAAATACATGAAAACTTCTGTTATCGTCACACACGATCAGATTGTTAAACGCGTCAATGGTCAAGCTTTTTCTAAGCGATCCAACAACAGACTCCTCCTTGCTAATATCATACAGATAAAGTCCTTCGTTGTTGAACACTGTAACATATTCATACAAGACAAAAAACCTGTTCTCATGATAAACAGCAGAATTCGGGTAATCAAGACCGTGTGGTCCTTTGAAGGACTGTACTAATCCTGTTCCGTCAGGGGAGAGGACCTTGACCGACTTGTCGCCCGAGTCACACAAGATCATGTGACCATCATCTCTGACAGATACGGACCTAGGACTTATCAAATGCTGACTGATGACTTTAATGAAGTCGCCATGTTCAGTGAACAAGAACATCTTACTCGGTTCAAAATATCCTTCATGAATGACAATGACTTCATCAGATGTTGTAAATTCCACCGAAACAGGATGCTTAATTCTCTCAGAATCAAGTCCCTTGTTTCCTATTGTTCTCAGATATTTACATTCACGATCAAACAACTTAACACTACGATCAAAATATTCTGCTAGGGCAATCTTTCCTGTTCTTTCATTCACTGCAATGCTGCCTGGTCCTATCAACTGTTTCGGTCCTCTAAACGAATGAATAGCTTTGTATTGATGACCAGTCGCCTGAACTCTCCAAGGACTACCACTTAGCGGTTGGCCATTAACCTCAACAGAAATGTCACGTAAGCCACCACTCTTTGGCTTGTAACGCACTACGTAGCTTCCATTCTTACAGTCATCAATTTTCGTTTCCTCCTCTTCTCCTTTTTGAGAGCGGACTATTACAGTCAGTTGGTCTTGTTCATTATACCACTGACTTCCCTTTGAATCTCGCGTGGTGACTGTAAAGTTAGTTTCATTTTTTGTTGGTGCTTCGATTAAACCTCTTCCTTCTGCCGATGACTGTGAAGGATCCGTGTTAGTCTCGAATACTTGACCCGGAACCAAGCCTCTAACAGTATTCATAGCTTCCAAATTTACACAATAGACGACATGTTGAGGTCTACATACCTCAATATCCTGTGTGGTTAAAAGTTCCTCGCATCGTCCAAGCACAGCATGTCCTGCTTGCAGAATTTCAGAACCGATGCTTCGTTGTACGATACCTTCGCCATATTCGATAGAGCTCTTAAGCTGAGCAGCGAGTAACTGAACATTTCCTATTTTTGCTGCGTAACTCCTTTGTTGCGTGACTCTAATTTTCGCCATCTTAGTTTTTACAGCCGTTTCATGTTCCTTCGCAATTCGAATAAGTTCTTGCACAGTTTTCGTAACCTTCTCTTCAGCGATGCAGATTTCTTCTTCGCTTTTTTTCATTAGTTCAGTTTGCTCCGATATCTTGGACTGCACGGTAACAAGTTTTTCCTTAACTCTGGCAAAAACTTGCGTCATTTGCATCTTTTGTTCTTCGGCAGCCTCCTGTAAGTCTACTAAAGAATGTCGACTATGACTCACTATACTGCACTTGTGGCAAATACAAACGCTACAGTCTTGACAATAATAATCAAGCGGTTCATTCTCGTGATATTTCTTTGCACACATGGCGGGTCTGTGCATCAACTCCTCCACATCTTGCGCTTGCAAATTTTCGATCAAAACATTGCGATGACCTCTTGTGGCCTTCAGGCGCTGATGAGCGTCAAAACAATCCTTGCAAAGAAAGTTCTGGCAAACAAAGCAGTAGCAAGTTGCCGTGTTGTTTTCTTCACAACTGCTGCATCTCTGAGACTCGTGGCTGCCATCTCTCAGAGCGAGGAGATCCACCAATCGGTTGAGATGAAAAGATGTGGGAAGGCCGCCGCCAAACGTGTCTCCCTCAGGGATCTGAAAGCAAGCCTGACAGACTGGACATTTGATCGTCGCTTCAAACTTTCTTTTTGCATATCCTGCGTGTTTGTCGATACACCGCAGGCAGAACGAGTGTAGACATGGCAATGTCTTGGGATCTTTGACTGTTTCTAGACACAGTGGACACTCGGCTTCCTTCTTGAGACTTGTAAAGAGCTGTTGAACATCCATGTCTAACTGAATAAGTTGAGAGCTGGAAGCAGTTGACACGTCACGTCGCTAATCATATATAAAACAAGACCTAGGGGAGGGATGAGTCACCTAATGAGCCCTCACCCTCTCCACCCTATTCAGATTTGCAACAGTAGCCTTAGTTTGATGTGTTTCAATGTGTTTATTATTCTGTTTCTAGGGGCGGAGTGATTACTCTTTTTATTTTTTTATTTTTTTTCTTGAGAAATGAAACCTATGGAATCATTTATTTTTAACGCAAAATTGTCGGAATAAGTTTGTTTCAGCGCCTAAATAAGGAACGGTCATCAGTAAATTCTTGATTAAATGGTCCCGTTTGCCAACTTATACGTAGGCTGCTGGTGACAAAATTCGACCACACTCGTACAGGACAATTTCGCACGCATGACCGACGATTCCATGCTAAAAGTGTTTTATTACTTTAATTATGAAGATGAAGTGAAGAATTGAATTCAGTTTCCACGCAAAGAAATTCAATGAACTTTGCAAACGTTTTCGAGTGGCATTACCTAACCTCGGTAAATCTCCGAAGGTGTGCGTTATCTCGATAATTAACATGGAGTTGCAATTTGCTGCTTTTTACAGCTAAATTAAGAAATATTACTCCTATATCTAATCACCTTTCTGCTTGAAAATTTCTGGATGCTGCTGAAAATTTTCGTTTTAATTATTCCCGAGAGTGCAAAGGTTTATAGGATTTTCTTATCCAGTTTAACTTTTCGAGAAGAGTGACTGACACATTAATTTGTTTATATTGTTGCGTACAGAGTCTCCTTACTTTTGCTGGTTTTGCCTTTTTTTCAGGAAACGTGTCACTAATCATAGCTGCTAAAAGCTCTTGCAAGTTTTGAATTACTAAACTCACTGTAGTTTTCTTTGCAGCTCCGTTGAATTTTAACAGGGAATTCTGCAAGATGTGATGCTACTCAAATATTCTCCTCCTGTAAGCTGATTTTTTTATTCATTTATTTTCTCTATAAAAATTTAGGGTGTTAAATAAATTTTGCTGCATTTTTCTGAATGTGTCTTTGATAAGGTGACAAGGGAGAAATATACATAGAGCCTATATAATGCAGGCGTGTATAATTATCAGCAAAAAAGCTCAGTTACCTAATAACGCAAAGAAATGAAGGCAAAATTTTATCTTAACTGAGGAAGAGTCGAAACTTGCTTTCACCCTTCCCCATAAAGTATCCTTTGAAAGCCTTACAATACAAAATTTTAAATTCGATACTTAATACAAACAAGAAATTATTGCAAATTGGATATTGTGAGCATGATGGATGCACTTTCTGTGACAAAGAATCAGAAACATTACACCACCCTTTTTTCTTTTGCACTTACTCGAATATCTTTTGGAAACAAGTCGAAAATTATTATTTCGCAATAACAAACAAAGTTATGGCTCTCAGCCTTCAAAATATCATTATAGATATTACAACCTTTTACTAAATTACTTGATACTAATCAGAAAAATACATATCTGAGATTGCAGAAGGACGCATGAGCATCCGAATACAGAAAGTTTCAAACTAAAAGTGAAAATTTATTATCAAACAGAAAAAAACATTGCTTCAACAAATAAAGACCTGGAAACTTTCTATAAGAATTGGATTAAAAACTTTCCACTCTAATCTTGGGTGTTTCTCTCTTTCACTTTTTTTTTTTTTTTTTTACATTAGTAATAATTGCAATGATTGTATTAGTTTTCCCAATAGTAACTGTATTTAACTTCATTATAATAGTGAGGCTGTGCAGTAATTTAAAAGTCTTATTATTGTTAATATAATTAATATTTTTTAGAACAATTGTAATGTTAATTTTGGCGAAAATGCTTACAGCAGCAATTGCGCCAATCCTCGTTTCTGTGTAGTAATTTTAGCTATGTCTGTAATTTGTACTTAAATAATGATAATGAATAATAATGAAATAGAGGCGTGTATAATTATAACAGAATACAATTAAGGGGTATGGGGGTTGGGCTATTAAGACGGAACTTGGCTTGTGGGAGAGGATTATATGTGAAGGAACATGACGAAATAAATGTTCTGTGTTTTTTTTCAGAAAAAAATCTAAAGATGATATCCAGATATGATACCATGCATCGTGAGTTTGTTTATCTTGTTAATGAATCAATTTTTTCATCGTTCCGATTAGATCTAATGCCACATTGCTCCCCAAATTTTAGGATCCGCACGCATTGCGGACCTACTTTGCCCTGACTGGTGCAAACTTTCACTTCCGACTAGAAGAGGTTTCAGCGGAAAAAGAGGGGAAAAAAAGCTTTACAAGACTCTTGTATTTTAGCGTCAAAACAGTCTGTTTCAAACCTCGCACGGGTTATTATGCAGTGATCTTGGACAAGAAGGATTGTACAAAAGTGCCACTCCCTAACCCACTGTATGCATCAAGAAAATGTCGTGTAAACTGAATGAATGCTGACTATGAAAGAAGGGGATTGCATATTTTCATCCAATAAGAGGAGGAGTGACAATACACCTCGTAACGTAATGCTAAGCTCCGATAGCTAAGTGGGAATAGTATACAAAATGGGAAGAGTTGGTTTCGATAGCTGCCATACAAATTAAAGACTATATACCCACACGATTGGCGTTTGCTGGTCTTTTAATCTGTACAGAAAGAGAACCTTACGTGTAAAGGCTTCTTAACAGAGATTAAATGAACTTGGCAAAACTCTCTCCTGCTCGTACTGGTTTGACAAAAAGAAGAAATACGATCCACGACTAGCACGCCGGCATAGGTCTGCAGAAGGAAAAGGTAACAAGATATATCAGAAATTCTTTGTGTTTGAATCGATTCAATCTCCTCGGTTAAAATTTGTGTTCGCCTTGACGTCAAAGAAGTGTGCAAAACTAACTTGAAAACTTGAGCATTAAATTTCTTTACTTTCTACAATTTTAAGTTTACACCGAAAGTGACACACAAAACTTTGATTGTTTAAGAAAGAGGAAAAAAACAGCATGAGAAAAATTGTTCCCACCTTTTCATAACGTCACTGAAACAACAACCCAATCACGACCAGAATATACAAACTCAAAAGAAGTTAAGTCTTATTTCTGTGTAGAAAGCTATCGACATTTGTGATCCTAGTAGGATGCTTGCCACAACAAAACCCTATATGCTCAGATGGTAGATCATCCAAACGTGAAGTAGGATTCTAAAATTTGGATCCATGCAAAGATACTGCGACACTTACGGTTGTCACAAATATAAGACATCTTTGTTTCGGTGATGGATTGGGAATCCTTTAGTTCATAAAACAATAAAAGGTTCCGAATAAATCGCCCAACAAAGACAGAGTGCGCGACAAATATGACAAAAAACAAGTGCAGGAGTCGGTTCTATATCAATGCCTACCTCAGAAAGTTCTCCTTTGTCACAGCGAGTTTCAGCCGCATTAGAAATGTCACTAAGACTTCTGCCACCTGCACAGATAAAGGACAAACCACAGTCGGAACACGGCAATAGTCACCTCAAGTAGCAGGTGTAAATAAGATGTAACTTTGGGCTAAGGGATGCTTATGATGGTACTGTAATTTTTTTTTAGAATCGGTCTCTTTACCGTGAATCATGTTTTTCACGTTTTTTAGAATTGAAAATTTCAGAACATTCGCAATTTCCCAACTTTATTCCACTCATACCACAAAAATACGTCAGGTGTAATATATTAAGTACCCTCTAGGGTTACTGTGTATGTACCCAGAATACATTGCTGGAATAAAGTTGTGTTGAAGCGGCCATGTTGTTTGACCTCGTGGGTTTATATCACTAGCAATATATTACATCAGGAAAAAGTGAAGGTTTGATTGTTACTAAATGTGAGAAATTTTAAATTGCTCTGAGGAGATGATGCAGCCGTTCACAACAACGCATGGAAAACCCTGGTAAGCTCATTAGAATTTTTTTTATTTTTTACTACCATTGTTATCATTATCATTCAGTATTATTTTTGTATTTATCATTATTGTTATTATTATTTTATTATTACTTTTTGTTTTCATTTATCGTTCTAAGCTGAGGATGAATTCGCTACTTGACTTACTTTGTCCGAGGCATCCTCGTGAACGCAATGACCGCAGCGTGGTAATACTTGCATCTGAAATTTACCTTTAAACGAATATCGCAGAGTTTCTATCATTAGAAAAAATTTTCATTCAAACAAGAAAATATTATATCACATAAGTAGGTCTCAACTAATCTGAGACATCATACCTTGCATTTGACCAATCGTCAGATCTTTGTCAAGACGATCCACACCTGTGTCGAAAATTCGATCTTTATATTGTTAAGTGTCAAAACTACTTGCGTAGATCAAAGATATAGTTTCTGAAGCGTGCTAGGGAAATGGTTAAAAATTAAACTGTCAGCGATTATATTCATCAAAGGTATGGAGCTTTTTAGTCACGTAAATCATCTAACATTCAAACAGAACAACAAAAACAATGAAAGCTTCATCACCATCATCCTTATCATCATCATCATTCTTACCTTCAATATCAAAGTAAAATAAAAAAACAAACAAACAGGCACAAAAAAATTGAAATCCAAAAATTTACATTTGATTATCTGCCAATATGAGAAGCTTTGGAGCAGGACACGATAAGAACAAATTGGACATGCCTTTAGACCAGCTTTCAAAATTAAAAAAGATATAAAATAAAAACAAATAAAACTGATAGACAAAAGGGAAATGCTGCCTGCTTTACTCACTAAATGGGAGGGGGCATACTTAGTTCCTCATTTCACCCACAAGGGTGGAGACTCTTGTTATCTTTTAGAGACTTCACACCTTCAGAGATGTAGAACAAGGGGAAACGAGACATGATCCTAACTTTTAAAATCCACAATTCCAGGGCTATAGAAGCGTGAAAAAAGTTACCATGAATGACCAAGGTTTCTAAGGAGATGCATACTCGCAGGCTTTTGTAGCCCTATCAAAGTATTCGTCCAAATAATCTTAGACTCACCTTCCCAAAACTGATCAGTCTTGGACAAGTCAATCCTCCAAGTAAATCTCTCATCAGCCCTCTAAACGACAAATACCCAAACAATGGAAAAAGATTTGAAGTTAGTGCCTTGCGTTGAACTCTGAATGTGTGGTGGGCGCGGATCTTTTTGACTCGCGCTACAGACTTCGCCGAAAAGCAGGGACTGCTGTAGTCTATCATTTCAGTAAAACGTCTCATTAACAGCAGCTTCAAAGTGCTTGCAACATTTACACACGCAAAGCAGTACTCCTTACAGCTCCGTTGGTTCTGTCCAATGCGATACTTTTTATAGTTTTCTCTAGTCAGACAATTTTTTATTAACAATTCTGTAACTCGATTTACCACTCTTTTTACAGTATCTGAATAATTTTTCTGTTTGATAAATTGGTGAATGTGATCTAAATAAGGTGACAAAAGAGAAAAACATTAAGAGCTTACACATTGTAAGCATGGATATTTACAAAAGAATACTTTTTGGGGGAATAGGGGTCGGGGTATTTGAATGCAAATAGGCCTGTGGGTGATTATAGGGGCTAGCACACTGAAATAGGAGGTTTTTAACAATATAAGTATCACCCTTAAATCTATTAGGAAGAGGTATAAAAGAAGAAAGGAGGGGTAAAAGGAAAGGGGAAGGGGTAAGAGGGAAGGGGGAAGGGATTAAAGGCAACTGGGAAGGGGTAAGAGGGAAGGGAGATGGGGTAAAGGAGAACGAGGGAGGGGTAAGAGGAAAGGGGAGTGGAAAAGGGGAATGAGGAGGGAAAAGAGGGAAATGGGAGGGGTAAAAGGGAAAGGGGAAGGGGTCAGAGGGAAGGGGGAATGGTAAAAGGGAAAAGGGGAGGGATAATAGGGAAGGGGGAGGGGTAAAAAGGAGCAGGGGAGGGGTAAAAGGGAACAGGGAGGGGTAAGAGGGAAGGGGGAGGAGGTAAGAGAGACTTGGAGCGGGGTAAAAGGGAAAAAGAAAGGGGTAATTGGATTTCCAGAAAATTAAGGATTAAAGATAACTTCAATAGAAACAGTTAACAAAATATTAGGGCCTTCTTGAAGGCTACCCAGGAATGCTTTCCACTCTCCGTTGAAAATTCTCCTTTTGATTATTTGTGACAAAAGTTGATTAAAGTTGTCGTGAGAACAGCTTAAAAAAATAGGGCCGTGAATTCTTGAAGAAAAACAGTTTTAATCACTCACACACAATGCAGGTACTCTCACTGTTTAGTCACAGGGAGAGCCGACACAGCCTTGGGTGGGCCTCTTTGAATGAGATCTATCAACACCGACGAAGAAAAAATCTTCAAGATTCTTCTTCCAAGATTGCACATTTTTACACTAATTTTTACACCAAATCAAATAATATTTTATTTACTACTCTGAAAGATAAACACATACAGCTAATAAATGGAGACAAACGCAAGGACGACGAAAGAAAAAATGAATAAACTAAAACAAAATTAGAACAAAGTTATCTTTAAAATATTTACAAAGTCCAATTTCCATTCTTTCTTTTTCTTTTTGAGCCCGCGAGGAATATTTCAGCGGCTGTTAAAAAAGGATCATACCTTACAACGAAACAAAGGTCACATTGAAAGAATCGCATCAGAATAACTGTTGAGCAATGTTCACTTTCTACTGCAAAACATGGACTACGTAATTTTCATAATCGCAAACCAACAACTTATTATCTTCAAAAGCAGCGACAAACGAGGGAGATTTAATTTCTTCAATATTAAACGAGTAAACAAATTTTCCATCTAAAGAAAACACTTGAAATCTGCGATTATTGTTGTTATCACACACGATCAGATTGTTAAACGCGTCAATAGTGAATTTTTTAGTAAAAAAGAGTTTTCCTGCACAGAGTTCCTCCTTGCCAATGTCATACAGATAAAGTCCTTCGTTGTTGAACACGTGAACATAGTTAAGTGAGTCAAATAAAACAAAAAACTTGTCTTCATGATAAACAGCAGAAGTCGGCTTTCTAAAACCGTGTGATCCTTTGAAGGACTGTACTAATCCTGTACCGTCAGGGGAGAGGACTTTGACTGACTTGTCACCCCTATCACACACGATCATGTGACCATCATCTCTGACAGATACGGACCAAGGATCAATCAAATGCTGACTAATGACTTTAATGAAGTCGCCATGTTCAGTAAACAATAACATCTTACGCGGTTCCAAAATATCTCCATGAATGACAATGACTTCATCAAATGTTGTAAATTCCACCGAACGAGGAAACCAGATTTTCTCAGCATCAAGCCCCATGTCTCTTATTGTTCTTAGATATTTCCACTCACGATCAAACAAATGAACTCTGTCACTAGCAGGATCTGCTATGGCAATCTTTCCATTTCTTTTATTCACTGCAATACTACCTGGTCTTTTAAACTGTCCCGGTTCTATCCCATGTGATCCAAATGAATGAATAGCTTTGTATTGATGACCAGTCGCCTGAACTCTCCAGGGACTACCAGTCAGCGGTTGGCCATTAACCTCAACAGAAATGTCACGTAAGCCAACACTCTTTGGCTTGTAACGCACTACGTAGGTTCCATTCTTACAGTCATTAATTTTGGTTTCCTCCTCTTCTCCTTTTTGAGAGCGGACTATTACGGTCAGTTGGTCTTGTTCATCATAACATTGACTTCCCTTTGAATTTCGCGTTGTTACTGTAAAGCTAGTTTCAGTGCCTGCTTCTGCCTTGGTTAAACCTCTTCCTTTTGCCGATGATTGTGAAGGATCCGTGTTCGTCTCGAATACTTGACCCGGAACCAAGCCCCTAAGATTATTTATAGCTTCCACATTTACACAATAGACTACATGTTGAGGTGTACATACTTCAATATCCTGTGTGGTTAAAAGTTCCTCGCATCGACCAAGCACAGCATGTCCTGCTTGCAGAATTTCAGGACCGATACTTCGTTGTACGATACCTTCGCCACATTCGACAGAACTCTTTAGCTGAGCAGCGAGCAACTGAAAATTTCCTATTTCTGCTGCGTAATTCCTTTGTTGCTTGACTTTAATTTCTGCCAGCTTAGTTTTTACAGCCGTTTCATGTTCCTTCGCAGTACGAATAATTTCTTGCACAGTTTTCGTAACCTTCCTTTCAGCGGCGCAGATTTCATCTTCGCTTTTTTTCATAAGTTCAGTTTGCTCCGATATCTTTGACTCCACGATAACAAGTTTTTCCTGAACTCTGGCAAAGACTTGCGTCATTTGCATCTTTTGTTCTTCGGCAGCCTCTTGTAATTCTACTAAAGAATGTCGATTATGACTTACTATACTGCACTTGTGGCAAATACAAACGCTACAGTCTTGACAATAATAATCAAGCGGTTCATTCTCGTGATATTTCTTTGTACACATGGCGGGTCTGTGCATCAATTCCTCCACATCTTGCGCCTGCAAATTTTCGATCAAAACATTGCGATGACCTCTTGTGGCCTTCAGGCGTTGATGGGCATCAAAACAATCCTTGCAAAGAAAGTTCTGGCAAACAAAGCAGTAGCAAGTTGCCGTGTTGTTTTCTTCGCAACTATTGCATCTCTGAGCCTCTTCGCTGTCATCTCTTAGAGCGAGGAGATCCACCAATCGGTTGAGATGAAAAGATGTGGGAAGGCCGCCGCCAAACGTGTCTCCCTCAGGGATCTGAAAGCAAGCCTGACAAACTGGACATTTGATCGTCGTTTCTAACTTTCTCTTTGCATATCCTGCGTGTTTGTCGATACACCACAGGCAGAATGAGTGTAGACATGGCAATGTCTTGGGATCTTTGACTGTTTCTAGACACAGTGGACACTCGGCTTCCTTCTTGAGACTTGTAAAGAGCTGTTGAACATCCATGTCTAACTGAATAAGTTGAGAGCTGGGTGCGGTTGGCACGTCACATCGCTAATCATGTATAAAACGAGACCTAGAGGAGGGATGAGTCACCTAGTGAACCCTCATCCTCTCCACCCTATTCAGATTTGCAAGAGTAGCCTTAGTTTGATGTGTTTCAATGTGTTTTTTATTCTGTTTCTAGGGGTGGAGTGATTACTCTTTTTTTTTTAGTTTTTTTTTTTTTTTTGAGAAATGAAACCCATGGAATCATTTATTTTAACGCACACTTGTCGGAATAAGTTTCTGTTTGAGCGCCTAAATAAGGAACAGTTTTCAGGAACTTCTTGATTAAATGGCCCTGTTTGCCAACTTACACGTAGGCTGCTGTTGACAAAATTCGACCACACTCGTACAGGACAATTCTGCACGCATGACCGACGATTCTATTCTAAAAGTGTTTTATTATTTTAATTGTGAAGATGAAGTGAAGAACTGAATTCAGTTTCCACGCAAAGAAATTCAATGAACTTTGCAAACGTTTTCGAGTAGCATAACCTAACCTTGGTAATCTCCAAAGGTGTGCGTTATCTCGATAATTAAGATGGAGTTGCAATTTGCTGCTTTGTACAGCTAAATTCAGAAATATTACTCCCTTTTCTAATCATCTTTCTGCTTGAAAATTTCTGAATACTGCTGAGAATTTTCGTAAGTGCAAAGGTTTAAAGGATTTTCTTATCCAGTTTAACTTTTCGAGAAGAGTGACTGACACATTTATTTGTTTATATTGTTGCGTACAGAGTCTCCTTACTTTTGCTGGTTTTGCCTTTTTTTTCAGGAAACTTGTCACTAATCATAGCTGCTTAGAGCTCTTGTAAGTTTTAAATTACTGAACTCACTGTAGTTTTCTTTGCAGCTCCGTTGAATTTTAATTTTTTTTTTTTTGCATTAGTAATAATTACAATGATTGTATTAGTTTTCCCAATAGTAACTGTATTTAACTTCATTATAATAGTGAGGCTGTGCAGTACTTTAAAAGTCTTATTATTGTTAATATAATTAATATTTTTTAGAACAGTTGTAATGTTAATTTTGGTGAAAATGCTTACAACAGCAATTGCGCCAATCCTCGTTTCTGTGTAGTAATTTTAGCTATGTCTGTAATTTGTACTTAAATAATGATAATGATAATAATGAAATAGAGGCGTGTATAATTATAACAGAATACAATTAAGGGGTATGGGGGTTGGGCTATTAAGACGGAACTTGGCTTGTAGGAGAGGATTATATGTGAAGGAACATGACGAAATAAATGTTCTGTTTTTTTTTTTTTAGAAAAAAAATCTTAAGATAATATCCAGATATGATACCATGCATTGTGAGTTTGTTTATCTTGTTAATGAATCAATTTTTTCCGATTAGATCTAATGCCACATTGCTCCCCAAATTTTAGGATCCGCACGCGTTGCGGACCTACTTTGCCCTGACTGGTGCAAACTTTCACTTCCGACTAGAGGACGTTTTAGCGGAAAAAGAGGGGAAAAAAAGCTTTACAAGACTTTTTTGTATTTTAGCGTCAAAATAGTCTGTTTCAAACCTCACACGGGTTATTATGCAGTGATCTTGGACAAGAAGGATTGTATAAAAGTGCCACTCCCTAACCCACTGTATGCATCAAGAAAATGTCGTGTAAACTGAATGAATGCTGAGTATGAAAGAAGGGGATTGCATATTTTCATCCCATAAGAGGAAGAGTGACAATACACCTCGTAACGTAATGCTAAGCTCCGATAGCTAAGTGGGAATAGTATACAAAATGGGAAGAGTTGGTTTCGATAGCTGCCATACAAAGACTATATACCCACTCGATTGGCGTTTGCTGGTCTTTTAATCTGTACAGAAAGAGAACCTAACGTGTAAAGGCTTATTAACAGAGATTTAATGAACTTGGCAAAACTCTCTCCTGCTCGTACTGGTTTGACAAAAAGAAGAAATACGATCCACGACTAGCACGCCGGCATAGGTCTGCAGAAGGAAAAGGTAACAAGATATATCAGAAATTCTTTGTGTTTGAATCGATTCAATCTCCTCGGTTAAAATTTGTGTTCGCCTTGACGTCAAAGAAGTGTGCAAAACTAACTTGAAAACTTGAGCATTAAATTTCTTTACTTTCTACAATTTTAAGTTTACACCGAAAGTGACACACAAAACTTTGATTGTTTAAGAAAGAGGAAAAAAACAGCATGAGAAAAATTGTTCCCACCTTTTCATAACGTCACTGAAACAACAACCCAATCACGACCAGAATATACAAACTCAAAAGAAGTTAAGTCTTATTTCTGTGTAGAAAGCTATCGCCATTTGTGATCCTAGTAGGATGCTTGCCACAACAAAACCCTATATGCTCAGATGGTAGATCATCCAAACGTGAAGTAGGATTCTAAAATTTGGATCCATGCAAAGATACTGCGACACTTACGGTTGTCACAAATATAAGACATCTTTGTTTCGGTGATGGATTGGGAATCCTCTAGTTCATAAAACAATAAAAGGTTCCGAATAAATCGCCCAATAAAGACAGAGTTCGCGACGAATATGACAAAAAACAAGTGCGGGAGTCAGTTCTATATCAATGCCTACCTCAGAAAGTTCTCCTTTGTCACAGCGAGTTTCAGCCGCATTAGAAATGTCACTAAGACTTCTGCAACCTGCACACATAAAGGACAAACCACAGTCGGAACACGGCAATAGTCACCTCAAGTAGCAGGTGTAAATAAGATGTAACTTTGGGCTAAGGGATACTTATGATGGTACTGTAATTTTTTTTCAGAATCGGTCTCTTTACCGTGAATCATGTTTTTCACGTTTTTTAGAATTGAAAATTTCAGAACATTCGCAATTTCCCAACTTTATTCTATTCATACCACAAAAATACGTCAGGAAAGAGTGAAGGTTTGATTGTTACTAAATGTGAGAAATTTCAAATTGCTCTGAGGAGATGATGCAGCCGTTCACAACAAGGCATGGAAAACCCTGGTAAGCTCATTAGAATTTTTTTTATTTTTTACTACCATTGTTATCATTATTATTCAGTATTATTTTTGTATTTATCATTATTGTTATTATTATTATTTAATTATTACTATTTTTTACATTTTTCGTTCTAAGCTGAGGATGGATTCTTTACTTCACTTACTTTGTCCGGGGCATCCTCGTGAACGCAATGACCGCAGCGTGGTAATACTTGCATCTGAAATTTACCTTCAATCGAATATTTCAGAGTTTCCATCCTTAGAAAAAATTTTCATTCAAACAAGAAAATATTATATCACATAAACTAGGTCTCAACTAATCTGAGACATCATACCTTGCATTTGACCAATCGTCAGATCTTTGTCAAGACGATCCACACCTGTGTCAAAAATTCGATCTTTATTATTATTGTTAAGTGTCAAAACTACTTGCGCAGATCAAAGATATAGTTTCTGAAGAGCGCAAGGGAAATGGTTAAAAAATTAAATTGTCCGCGACTATATTAATCAAAGACATGGAGCTTTTTAGTCACGTAAATCATCTAACATTCAACCAGAACAAAAACAATGAAAGCCTCATCATCATCATCATCATCATTATCATCATCCTCACCTTCAATATCAAAGTAAAATAAACAAACAAACAAACAGGCACAAAAAAATTGAAATCCAAAAAATTACATTTGATTACCTGCCAAGATGAGAAGCTTTGGAACAGGACACGATAAGAACAAATTGGACATGCCTTTAAACCAGCCTTCAAAATTAAAGAGATAGAAAATAAAAACAAATAAAACTGATAGACAAAAGGGAAATATATACACCTGCTTTACTCACGAAACGGGAGGGGGGGGGGCATACTTAGTTCCTCAGTTCACCCACAAGGGTGGAGGCTCTTGTTATTTGTTAGAGACTTCATTCCTTCAGAGATGTAGAACAAGGGGAAACGATACATGATCCCAACTTTTAAAATCCACAATTCCAGGGCTATAGAAGCGTGAAAAAAGTTACCATGAATGACAACGGTTTCTAAGGAGATGCACACTCGCAGGATTTTGTAGCCCTATCAAAGTACACGTCACATTTCCATCAGTGTTCACATGGCGAGAAGTGCACGTCTGAGTAATCTTAGACTCACCTTCCCAAAACTGATCAGTCTTAGACAAGTCAATCCTCCAAGTAAATCTCTCATCAGCCCTCTAAACGACAAATACCCAAACAATGGAAAAATATTTGAAGTTAGTGCCTTGCGTGGAACTCTGGAAGTATGGTGGGCGCTGATCATTTTGACTCGCGCTACAGACTTCATCGAGAAGCAGGGACTGCTCTAGTCTATCATTTCTGTAAAACGTCTCACTAACGGCAGCATAAAAGTGCTTTCAACATTTACACACGCAAAGCAGTTCTCCTTGTAGCTCCGTTGGTTCTGCCCAATGTGTAGCAAGATGCGATACTTTTTAGATAGTTTTCTCCAGTCAGACATTTTTTTACCAACAATTCTGTAACTCGATTTATCCTCTTTTTACAGTATTTGAATCATTTTTCTGTTTGATTAACTGGTGAGGGTGATATAGATAAGGTGACAAGAAATAAAAAGATTACGAACTTACAAATTGTAAGCGTGAATATTTATAAAAGAATACTTTTTGGGTGTATGAGGGTCGGGATATTTGAATGCAAATAGGCCTGTGGGTGATTATAAGAGCTAGCACACTGAAATAAGATATTTATTAACAACATACGTAACCCCCCTAAATAGGAAGAGGTAAAAAGGAAGAAATTAGGGGAAAAAGGGAACGGGGGAGGGGTAAGAGAGAAGGGGGAAGGGATTAAAGGGAACTGGGGAGGGGTGAGTGGGAAGGGAGATGGGGTAAAGGGGAACGAGGGAGGGGTAAGAGGGAAGGGAAGAGAGAAGGGGGAGTGGTAAAAGGGGAATAGGGGAGGGATGAGAGGGAAGGAGGAGGGGTAAAAGGGAAGAGGGAAGGGATTAAAGGGAACTGGGGAGGGGTAAGAGGGAAGGGGGAAGGGATTAAAGGGAACTGGGGAGGGATAAGTGGGAAGGGAGATGGGGTGAAGGGGAACGAGGAAGAGGTAAGAGGGAAGGGGGAGTGGTAAAAGGGGTATAGGGGAGGGATGAGAGGGAAGGGGGAGGGGTAAAAGGGAAAAGGGGAGGGATAAAAAGGAGTGGGAAAGGGGTAAGAGGGAAGGGGGAAGGGGTAAGAGGGAACTGGAGAGAGGTAAAAGGGAACAAGAAAGTTGTAATTGGATGTCCAGAAAATTTAGAATTAAAGATAACTTCAATAGAAACAGGGCACTGCTGCTGCTTACCTTCTGCCCTGTATCCACCTGACTAGTCCCTGCATGCACCACAGTCGAAGCCTTTGTATTGACTGTTTCTTCAGATTCTTCACTAATTGTATCACAGGCATGTGACAGTGGGGGAGAAGTTGGACACTCACTATTTACTTTATCTTCACTGTCACCACTACATCTGTTGGTTTCAAACACAATTTTAATCGTACTTGAATGTAAATATAACAGTAGACTTAATCAACCAAAACAACAGAGATTACAAGCATTAATCTCTTTGTCAAAAGCTTTCCACCACTGACTCAGACGAGAAGAAATTAAATTCACCTGACTAACTGTCCAGCCATGGATATACGCGCTGATTCCACATTGTGGACCTGGCCACTTCGTATGCTGCAATTGAAAAAACATGAAGGTCGCATCATATAACATTTGGTCACCATTGGCTATACCCCTTGAAAATGTAAACTCAAGTAATTTTCGCTTAGAATTTAGCCTTGGAAGAATTAAACAAAAGAAATCCCATTGAGGTTGAGGGATGATAAATAAATTTATTCTGTTTTATTCTCCCTAGCCTCTGAGTCATGTTAGAATTTTAAGATATCAAAAATGGCAGATTGGCCTCTGTCATTTGGATTGTGAAAACTGAAGGAAAATGAAGGAAATCTTGTTTTAGACTGGTCCTTCATCCCATTTCAGAATACCTCCATTCTATTCCTTCTTCCAGTGATTGAAACGAAGATGGTCTACTTCTCAGGAAAGACTGCATAGCAGACAATGCTTCCATCGCTGTCCCTATATGTATATAAACAAACAAATTTCTCCATAAATCCAGAGCTTTTTCTCAATAATACCTACATGCCTATTCAGTTACTGCCTGGATACAGTTTCTTGCTGAAAAGTATTTAGCTCTCATTGAAAATTGTTAACCTTACTTAATTGTAACACAACTGACTAGTGACTTCTTGCACCCCACTTGTTCATACCAAACTGGTGCAAACAGATGTAAATTGGAAATTAAACTAGGATTAAATTGGTCTTCTTTCACCACAGTCTTTAATTAGTCTAGAAAACTCATGTCATCCACCCAACCAAACAGATGAAAATTACATTTTGACATTGTGAGGTAGTTTTCCTGTTTTACCTCTGGTTGTCATTGGCTACTTCTGATATTTTCCTTCAATCAGATCAGCAATTGTGATCACTCTGGTTTTACTTTTAAGTACTACATTCATTTAAATGCACTCCATGTACTTTATTTATTAGTCTCTCTCACTCACCTTCCACTACATCAATAACAGCTAGTCCAGCTAAAGAGGTACTCAACAGTTTTTGAACTCCAACATGAACAGCAATGGCCCCACCCATGCTGAAAACAAGAAATTACTATCACTAACCCTTTAACTCCCATGAGTGACCGAGACAGAATTTCTCCTTGCAATATCTATACAATATCAACCAGATAAGTAAAGGGAATAAAGAAAAATATCAATTTGGGGATAATTAGTTGATCCAATACTAAATTCTCTGAACTAACATTATAAGAATTGTATCATTGACAGTAAGAAGAATGACAAGTTTGATCTGGGAGTTCAAGGGTTAAGCCCTTGTGATCAACATAAACACATCTTGTTACTAACCCCACACATTTTAAAACATTGGCTTAGATAAACTGCGCTTTTCTTTGTACATATTGCTACAGTGTATACACACTCTTATTAATGCATTAAGGACAAATCAAAATAAAAGGATGTAGACAGTTTGTTTACCCCTGCTGTCTCTGCTTAAGCTGTTATTTTCTCCCAGTTACTCTACAGAATATTACCTACAGCATAACAATAACGTTAGGAGTTTTTTAAACTCTACATCATCTTATTTTCAGATACATCCACTTAATGACACCATGGTGAAAATTTATAAAAAAAAACTTAAGGATATCATGCAGGTGATAATTTAATGGTCTGGAGCCCACATCCACCTTAACCAATTTGCTCCAGACACTTCATAATACAATATAAATGCATTTTACCTGTGTCCAACCAGAAGTATGGATGGAGGGGAATCTCCATAGATAGCCTGTACAACATTTCCAACATCTCTGTGAGTGATAAACAAACAGTTTTTATTGAAGTATGACATTATAAAATATGTTCAGTAGTAAGACATGTATGCTATTTGCCATGTTACATATACACTAGCCTCCATTTTGTGCAAAAATATGTTTGGATATTAGTGAGCAGACGCTCCATGTTCCAAGAGGCCAGCAATTTTCTGAGGGCAATGCTTAAGGGAAACTGTGAGTTTCAAGGAACCAATTATGTCAAAGGATGTTGATGTATCAGCAATTACAATTTTTGAATACCTGTAACTCAATTTCACATTGTCTCTGATAAACAGGTAACTACGTACTCATTTTATTAAATAAATAATATTGGGCCCTGAGTGCAAGTTTGGGGAAACTGACACAAAATTTTTCATCTCCTATACACTGATCTATTACATTCAACCAATTTTTTAAAATTACTCTCATGCAGACATCCAGTAGAGCACTTGCAGGGTGACACCTGACTGAGTCATTACTCCCTTACTCAAAGGTATCTAATGTAACAAATACATCTAGTGTGAAAGATCATTTGTCAGGTAAAACTTACTTTGATAAGGTATCTGCTGACAAATCAGAGTCATCTTCTGTGGATGTGTCACCTTTAAAAGAAGCAATTTTCATGTATTTCAAAACTACAGCTGCACAAACATTGTCACTCAAAACATGTCCAGTAAAGCTAAGTACACAAGTGTGGACACTATATAACTAAACACTTAAGAAACAAGTGTCTAAATTTGTAGGTTATTACGGTGGTAGACAGGAAGGGCATTTGTATGGATTTTCTTTCCACTGGGAAATGAGCATTCAATAGGACTGTCAATTATGTTATTTTTTTCTGTGATATCTACAAGCAAATCTTGTGTATTTGGCCCTTTTCACCCAAACATCAGCATGCACATTCTCCACACTCTACTCTCATTTCCCAAGATACTGACATGGAGAATTGGTTAAAAATCAAGAGCTTCAGTCTTTAAATGACAATCATTTCCTATTTCTCTTGACCTCAATGTGTGATTCAGGAGTGATGTTGTAAGAAGAAATTAGATGTTAGTCATTTTGAGGGATCAAACGGTTATAGGTTTGTTAAGAATCATACTCTTACCATGGCCTCTGAGATCTAATGCTAGAACTTGACAGTGACATATTCTTATGATTGATTTCTAAAAAAGATGAAAACTCTCTTAGTATTATCACTTGATAGCTCTTTTTGTTGTTTTAAAGGCTTAAAAGACCATCACTTTTCAAATCCAGCATCCTTCTCTGGATTAACTTTTCATAAAGAGCTCCCAAAAGTCTATTTCAATTAGCATGGACTGGAGAAAACATCTTCAAAACTTCAAAAAAAAAAATGGCCAGACTGGTCAGGAAGTTTGCAGTCAATCACAGAGGACAACTTTCAACACTAAGGCATTGATTTGCTTAAATCATTAGAGTGCACAATAGAATTATAAAACAAAGCTTGCACTATTGGATTTGGGTATCTGAATTTTCTAACTATGTTATAAAGTGTTGTGACAAATACTTACAGTAAAGACAGCCCATGATAAAGCAGAATGCCCTCCACCATGAAGTAACAATAGTACTGGGCCAGAATTACCAGCCTGGTAAACTCGAAATCTCTATTGCACAAGATGCCAGGCAATAAGTCAAGGAGATCCTTCTATTCTTTCCATTCCTCATCATGGCCTCTTAAACTTAACCCTTTAATTCCAAGTAGTGATTAAAATGAAACTTCTCCCAATAATATCTATACATTATTAAGCAAACAGGTAATGAGAATATTCAAGCTTATCAGGTAGAAGCTGCTATCTTGATCTAGCACCAAGTTCTCATTACTAATTTAGGAAATGTGTTGCAGCTAGAGGGGAGAATTAACAATCAGATCTTGGGAGTTAAAGGTTTAACCCCTAAGAGTGACTAACATCCAATTTCTCCTTAAAGTATCTCCATAGAATCAAATATTAAGGTCATATGAATCGATGAAATTATCTAACTAAGTAAAGAAGTTCTTCTCTTTGTCAGTAACTTAGGAAATGCATGAAGAACAGTAAGGACAATATACATACTAATGATTAAGGGAGTAAAAAGATAAAAGAGACATGTACATATCCTATTGCCAAGGCACTGGCATTGAGCTTCAAAAGTCAAGCCGAACAGGGCATTGTAACTGTAAGGAGAATGTTCCTGTCTATTTTTTTAGTTTTTTTTTTTAGTTTTTTTTAGTTGGTTTTTTTTTTCATGGTTAAGCATGCTATTTTGGTGGTCTTCGTCAAACTTTATCTGAAATATAAATACCTATCTGAAATAAATCAATTAAATAATTTCTTTGTCACATGAAGATAGCAAAAGTTTTTCACCCTCTATAATTGTACCAAGAATAACAAGCTTACTTCGCTCAAACATAACCCTTCACGCCCTAACTATGAGCGGTTGTCACTGCCAAAAATACAGGCAAAATGAATGGTTTGTAATAAACAGAAATGTTCTAATTGTATAAACCATTTTTTGCTTGAATATTTCAATTCACCATAGGTGACTTGTCCATTTGTATTTTAAATAAGTCTCTTGAGATAAGATAAACTGTTCTCCAAAAGACAAGTAGACCATTTCTATTTATTACAAATGATTTATTATGCCTATATTGTTGGCGGTGACAGCCGCCCATACCTAACATTAATATCTGTATTCTTTGCACTTTCCTCTTAACATTTCCTAAGGACGACAAGGAGACTTTTAAAATTAGGGGCTTCTTGAATTGGTTATCATTTCTATTATTCTCATGACCTTTTTACATTTGATTCAAGGGTACTGAAAAGGAAAGGAGAAATTATACAAATGTTGAAGTCATTCACTGATAGGGGTTAAAGAGTTAAACAACAAAAGGGAATGCATTTTCCAGTAGTAACGACCACAGCTTATGACATTCAACGTCAACATGCTGGCCGTTGCATGAAGTAATCACAATTGCATAAAATGTTTCGAAAAATACAACAGTAGTATGCACAAGAAGTAAGGTCAAATGAATTAACATGACTTTTGTACTAAAATAACTTTTAAACAATCACAGCACTCGTAATTAACGTGGGTATGGAATTTAGAGGGATCTCCCCTTCTCTCTCTTTCACTCAGTGAAACAAAAGATACGTTTTTATCATTGACACAAACATCTCTCGAACTATCGAAGTAATCTTCCCAAGACAACGGTGTGTAATCACGCTTTCGTCGCAGTCCTCCCGCGGTTCTGTTTGTGCGATCAAAAGATCTCAGTCCATAACAACAGCTACATAAAGTTTTTTACAAACCACCTACATAAAGTTCTTTACAAACCATCTACATAAAGTTTTTTACAAACCTAAGATTAAATCAATTCAGTGTCTTAATTCTTACCCGTAAGATTTCCCAGGTCGTTTCGGGGCAGGAGGTAAACCACCGTATTTGCTCTTTAAAGCCTCTTTCCTCAGTTCCGACATTTTGGATTTTTTTTCCCGATATTTTTATCGCAGGCTCATATTTTGCTCGCGTGGGGTTTGCCTCCACACATTTGTCATACAGTCACGGTCACGCAGGGTCAGGTAGTCAGTCACACAATCGCTAAACCCTGAGATATGTACATCTTCTTCTTCTTTTTTTTTTTTTTTTTTTTTTTTTTTTTTAATCCTAACTTCTATTTATCGTATTATTTTAACTGTAATTAATATTTTGTAACAATATTAGGCATGCTTCAATCAAACTCATGTTGTAAAATTATTTACCCCCTTGTCACATCACCAGCCTCCAGGAAAATGAGCCCGCGCTCCTCTCTCAAGAGGATCGAAGAATGCGTTAGGCTACGGTGATGTTTTTGTTCAATAACGTTGCATTTACTACGACCGTCGTCTCCATCATCTCTTGTTGTATTTTCTGGACACAAGCTCTAGCTTCACAGCCTCACATATTGCTACTATTGGTCGATGATTTGGGATGGAGCGATGTTGGATATCACGGTTCGCAAATAAAGACTCCTAATGTAGACAGACTTGCTCGTGAAGGAGTTATCCTTGAGAATTACTATGTCCAACAATACTGTACACCAACTAGAGGATCTCTCATGACAGGCCGGTATCCAATACACACCGGTGCGCATGTTTTACTAGTTTTCTTCCTCAAGACTCACGAAAAACATGTTTTGGCCGGCCTTTAGGGGGTAACTTTTCAGTATCTCAACAGCTGATATCATGCTAAGGTTAATTTTGGGTTAGGGGAGGGGTAGATGCGTAGTTGCTGAGAAACTTTCATTGATCCAACTATTGTGACCTTAGAGAAACTTCTGTACCAAGTTGTCCCGCAGCCACTGCTAGGAACCCGAGATGCCATGTTCATTCAATTTATAGTGGGGACAAACATCATCTTTCCCATCTCAACTTTTCAGGGGGGGCATGTTGAAGAAAAGGATTTTTTGGTAAAGTTAAATGTGATGAGTGGAAGACTGGTTTCAGAATTTCCTGAAAGTGATTACAGACCAGTCATTTGCAATTCCTGCATTATCTGTTTATAGACTTCTCCATTTTGATTTACCCTGGAGATCCCTTTTATCCTGTTCCCATGTTTGTGGCAAAATTTCACAGTGTGAAAAACAAAGTTAACTTGAAATCTTTAACCTTCCATTTTAAATCCAGGACACATTCCTTATAAGCTAGTTTCTTCAAACAGTATTTAAGCAAAGTATAACCTAAAAAATTCAAATGAAGAATTACTGACAGCTGTTTCTTTACATTTTCAGGCCTACAACATCGAGCAATTCTTAGTTTAACCCCTTTTGGACTTCCTCTAGAATTCTCCATTCTACCAGAGAAGTTAAAAGAAGTAGGTAGGTTGAGTATCTAAATTATGTTACTTTTAATCCTTTAACTCCCAAGATCTGATTTCTAATTCCCCCTCCAGCTGCTGCACATTTCCTTTGAAATTAGTTACAAGAATTTGGTGTAACTGTACTTGTAGATCAAGATAGCAACATCTGCCTGAAAACTTTTAATATTCTCATTACCTGTTTACAAGATAATGTATAGATATTATAGGGAGAAATTACATGTTATCACTTCTCGGAGTTAATGGGCAAAGGCTTCCAAATTGACTTATAGTATGAACCAACTTTAATGTAGATAAAAACCCAAAACCACTCACAAAGTCATCAAAACTGAAAATGTACACAACTTAGAATACATAGGTGGATGTGAATTTGTATTTGAGTTCAAGTTGAAGCTAGAATTATTCCAAAGAAAAAAACTGTAACAAAGACTACAGTAACTATATTTTTCTCCACTATGACCAAAACACTAAAAAATGGTCCAAAACACAAAAACAGAAAATATAAATGCCCCCCATTTCAAGGAATTTGTATGCTTACTTATTATAATTACTATAGCTGTTGTAAAATAGAAACATTATTTTACCATTAAGAGCTCAAGGTTTTGGTAACCTGATTCCTAATTATAAAACCAAGATTGATATATAAAAGTAAAATTAAAGAGCTATATAAATGAATAAAAATAACTATTTATTAATAAACAACCATGTATTTATAAACTAAAATTATGCAGATTCTAAGTCTGCAGCATGTCACTTAGAGAGTTCTTTGCACAAAGTATTTTAATTGCACAGAGTATTTTAATTGTGGTATACAAGAATAGCACTGACAAATTTGCCGGAGAAATTCTCTAGTTCAAGCATATTCAAGTTGCAAGGCTAAATCATCACAAGCATTGAACACATTTATGTACATGCACAAATATTTTTTACCTGAGCAGGAAGTATTGAAATTTTGTCTCCGTGCTTTCACTTAAATCAATGAATTATGTAGTACTCAAGTATTTCCAAGATTCCATCAAAATCCCTCAGTAGTGCCCTTACAAGCTTCTTTATTATGTAATAAAAGTATCAATCAGTTCATACTGATCTCTGCTTCAAAAAGCTAATTGGATTGAGGTTGGATAATTAAGTAACTTTTGGTCAGGGAAGTGTTTCAATCTGACAATTTCAGAAGGCAAAAGCAAATAAAATGCTTAGTATAGTGCAAGCTCCTGGCTCCAAAAGGAAAAAAATATATATATTTTAAAGATGCTGCATGCAACATACCTGGGTTAATTTTCACTAAATTTAAAGGTCTGGAAGGCTGACCTAAAGGAAAGGTTGATTGTTGGTTAAAAAAAAAAACTTTTAATAATTTAATTCCCATGAGTGACCAAGACAGAACTTCTCCTTACAATATCAATACAATATCAAGTAGACAAGTGATGAGAATCATAGGAAAGAAAATATTATTTAGGGGATTAATAGTTGATCCAGTACCAAATTCTCCAAACTAACACTACAACAACTATATGGCAGAAAGTGAGGAGAATTACTAATGAGATCGTGGGAGTTAAAGGTAAAAGCGACAAGTAAGAAAATACCCCATTATGGCTCTGGCTATACCTCAGTTGACCCCTGATTACTCAATTCTCCATTTTATAAATTCATTTCAACATATTATGTTGCCATCATTTTCTCCATTTTAACAAATTACTTTCCACCTTAATTCTATACTAATTATTTTCATGAATTCATTTCATTTTATTATGTTGCCATTTTCAGGTTACAAAACACATCTTGTTGGAAAATGGCATTTAGGTCACTATACATCTGTGAGTACTCCAACACACAGAGGCTTTGATTCCTTCTTTGGATTCTACAACTATGGACACGACCACTTCAACCACACCCATGATGGCTTTTTAGACCTCTTTGAGGGTGAAAAAGTTGCCAGAGGGTACAAAGGACAATACACTTCCCACCTTTATGTGCAGGTGATTTGGAATAAGAGTTCTGTCTTAGTAAATTAATGCTGGCACATAGTTTGTCTTCTTTTCACCAGTAGCCCTTAAGCTCACCTTGAAGGATTCAGGTGAGGGACTGGACACTGAGTCATATGTGTGTGACAGGTAGTGCAAGAAATCCCATTATGTTCTCAGCTATTTCTGGAATTTAAAACCATATGAAAGAAAGCTGAATGGCTTTTTGGTCTAGAGTTTAAGTTTTTTCTCCCTGAATCAAATCTCAACATTTTGTGTAGGAAGTCGAGAGAATTGTTGAAGAGCATAATTCTTCCAAGCCGTTGTTCTTATATATGGCATTTGAGAATGTCCACGACCCAATTCAGGCACCTGAAAAATACCTGAACAAATACAGCTTCATCAAAGATAGGGATAGGCGAACTTATGCGGCCATGATGGATGTGGTGGATGAAGCCATTGGAAATATAACAAAGGCTTTTAGAGAGAAAGGGTAAGGGCATTTTTTGATTGCTACCTACTGACAACTTTTGTGGTTTGGTTTGGGAAATATTGAAACATTGCTGTATAATGAGATCGTCCTGAGTAACTATTTGACCTCTAAGAATGATTAGCATCTAATTTCTCTATATCCCTTGTATTAAAGAGAATAAAGGAAATGAACACCAACTAAAGAAGTTCTTGATTGTCAAACAAATTCTCCCTGTTAGCACCTTGCTTAGGAAATGTATGGAAAACAGTATGGAGAATATATATACTGATGTTAGGGTGGAAAGGGTTAATATTATGTTGATAAATATCAAGAAAATAGATGCAAATATTTAATCATGCACAATCAACTTGGAGATAAAGGAGTATTTACATGTTTTATTACTATACTTTGTCAGTTTTCCTTGTTGTTGTTGTTTACATCATCTTCATTGTGATTTTTCAATGTGGACTAATGTCGGCACCCAGAGACTAAAACTAAAAATCATAGGTTCATATGAAATTTTTCATGTTTCTCTTCATCTTTGGAGATCCCTAGGAAAATACTTGGGAGAGAGAAAACCTCAACAGCGGTCTCTGTTCAGTGCAGACATCCATCAGATAAACTTTCGCATTGAATTAAAACCGTCATTGTGTGCTCCCCTGGGTCTTTGAGGACATGGCCTCTTTTGTGATTTCACTCCTTTCCTTCTCCCCCCCACACAACACGTTGTGTCAGAAAGACGCTCCCATTTGGGAAGAGGCTTTGCGTGAAAACCCAAAGAACAAATGCAAGGTATTAAAACTGGGTGAGATGGGGAAATTTAATGCCACTGAGAAGTTACATCTTTTTTTCAGAAGGTCATTTGGTTTGGGATGGTCTGGAAGGGATATCTTTGTTAAATAGGCGCCATCATCCTCATATTGATCCTAATTACTGTTAGTTACTGCTCTTTTTATTGACTCCTCTAGGTTGTGGAATGATACTCTTGTGATCTTTAGCTCGGACAACGGTGGAGACCCTTTCTACCGCGGCTTCAACTACCCCCTGCGTGGATACAAGAAGACGTTGTGGGAGGGTGGCGTGAAAGCGTGCGGTTTTGTTCATGGTCAGATGCTAAAACGGAAGGGGGTGATCTCACGTGATCTCATTCACGTAACTGATTGGTATCCGACTCTTGTTAACCTAGCAGGTACTACAGACATAGTTATTTCCGTTTTCTTGAACTGAAAAGGGCGTCCTTGAAGGCTAGCGCTTACTTACGATGTGAGTGAAGTTCGAAATCACTGCCAAGGATTGTCACGCAAAGCTGTTCCTTAGGGGGACCTTTTTTTTTCTGAGTGGGTGTCTCTTGAAATCCTAGAACCCGCAAGGGAACACCGATGAACGTAATTGGGGACGATTACAGAGGATACATGTTAGGTCTTTCAAAAAATCGCGAGACTGAAGAGTTGTCCAATCACATTCGATGGACATTTCTAGAAGAAGACATTTTTAGACATTTCAGAAAGTTTTACTTGGTTATTTTGGTGAGGTGTTAATTTCCACGCTAACGTTAGGTTTTGCAGCGATGGAATAGTTAACTTGATCAAATTGAACGTAACTGGCATATAAATGTACTCACTTCAATACCATTGAAGATACGTTTTAAAATGCACTGGTTTCTGTCTTTTGAGTGGGTTACATGTTGGGATATTTTTCAGATACTCAGTAGTAATGTTGTTGTTCTATTTGTTGTTTTTTTGTTTTCTTTTTTGTCGGGTAAAGGACGGCCAGAACTTGGCCGAAATTTAACTCACAAACACATATACAGTTCCTACTGTCTTTGCTAATCCTACGTTTGGAGACGGTTTGAATGCCTAAGCACAGTCATGGTAACTTGCTAGTGTTGTTTTGTAGGTGCCACATTGGATTCAAACCCTATGCCAGTGGATGGCTTTGATGTATGGGAAACCATTTCTAGTGGAACACCTTCACCCAGGACAGAGCTTCTCCATAATATTGACTTTCCTGAGAAAAGACCAGGGCTTTTATTGACATATGACACATGGTACAGCGGAGCAGCAATTCGTGTTGGTGACATGAAGTTATTGATGCATGTACCCAATGCCACTTGGTACCAGGTTCCAGAAGAAGGTGGAATTGCTCCAAACATGGAAGAAATCTGGGTAATGGGTTTTCCTTGTTCTTATCTTCTTGCTCAAACGCATTCCATGTCGTAGTCGTCGACTTTTCCTTGTTTGTTTGACTGAGTTTTCTTGGAAGTGATCAAAATTCCCCATGTGCGCTCCCAGCAAACCAGACCCTTGATCTTCTGTTACGATTTATGTTTTCACACACCAGGGAGGGTGTTCGGTTATTTTGGTAAATACTCTACCCGCACGGTACCCCTTTTCAAACGAAAGTTTTGAATCTGAGAAGCAGCAGAATGCGAGAAAATATTTTAGACGAACGATAACTTTTTTTTTTTTTAATTTTAGGATCAAAAAACAAACATCGTAGAACTGGCCCTATATAACATAACCGCTGATCCTACAGAACGTTACGACGTAAGCCATAAGTATCCTAACATTGTGCGACACCTGAAAGATCGAATACATGAACACTGGAAGACCGCTGTCCCACCGGGGATCGTTCCGGACGATATAATGGCTTTAGCTGTAGCCATAAAAAATAAAGCGTGGGTATCATGGAGAGACACTTGCAATGCCAAATAAGGGTATAGATATTTCTTCAAAATGCCCACCTCTAATAGAAATCGGTCAATTTTTGTCGGCGCAAAGATTTCCCATCAATCCCAAAATAAAACGTTCTTAAAGGCTTTAAAATGTTTTGGTCGAGAAAAAGAAATGTTGGTCTTTTTCTTTCCATCTATACCACCAGACGTACAAACTCAAATATCGCTAATTTTAAACTGCCATTTCTCTAAAGGTTACCCATTACTGACTAATATTGCCGAACAATTTAAGGTTTTGGGTCTGGTCAAAACGTTCTGATCTGGAAAGTTCGCCATCCAAACTGTATTTCGTTGAAATGTTCAGTAAACGACTCGAAGGATGGTGAACCTGCAAAAGCACCCAAAAATATATGTGCGTCATTGGCTAAGCGTGAGGTCAAAATGGATGGATATTAGCCTAGTTCTTTTTTTTTTTTTTCATGGACTTCGACGAACGCCAGAAAAGAACGGGACTAATCATCTTAACAGAACAAGCTCGGTTAGTAAAGGATTTATCACGTAGCAAAAGGATCATCGCTTTGCTTATTTCGAGAGACAGGAAACAAAGCCAACTGTTCTATGTAGCAGAATTACCCCACGAAAGTCCTTTATGTTTTCTTTGTTTTGACTGTCTTCCGCAACTTCTTGCGACTTTATCGCTGACGTGTCCAAAAATTAGTTAATTTTCTCTTGCGAGGTATCAAAGAAAAAAACATATTTTAGGCCTTATTTTCACTATTACTTAAAGTAGTGTTCATAACTGCGAGGATCGTTTCCTTATTCGTTTCTTCAACCGCAGTTTATAGATATGATTTTCATAGATTCACAGTCATGTATTCACCACTTCAAGGGTTTATTTGGAATTAACATAATGGCCAACTTCCCAGTTGGCTTATTAGCGCCTCCTGTAGAGCGCTGCACCAGTATCACAGAGGTCATGGGTTAAAATCTTGTATAAGCCTGAGTTTTTTTTTAGGCCTTGTTCTCACTACTCTTTATGTAGTGTTCTTAACTGTGAGGATTGCTTCCATATTCGTTTCTTCAACCGCAGTTCACATATATGATTTTCATATATTTACAGTCATTTACGGGTTTCACCTTGTTGTGTAAGACCGCTGGTGAATGAATGGAGGCTTGGGTACAAGGCTAACCGTTATGTTTATTCGCTGTGAAACATTGCATGACGTAATATATATTTATTTAGTTGGTTGGTCAATAAAAACGAGTCAGTATAGTGGTAGTCTGCCGCCTTTATCATCTGGAGCTGTCGTTAAGGTTAATCAAAGTAAGTACCAGTGATGTAAGTTTGCCTGTTTCTTTAACCTAAGACATTGGAAGTAATTTGAGCCAAACAGTGTCAGGTTTTAGATTTGCATATTTGACATGAGCTCATGATACAAATATTCTATGCTATTTTCTTAATTACCTGCAAAACGAAAACTGCATTGTTACGTTATCGATGCATCCTGGATAAAATTGGCATATTAGGATTCGATAGAGACCTGTGCATACGTTAATACTTTTCAAAATCAATTTGGGAGACTAATATCATTAAAATCAAACTACTACTAAACGCTTTGCCTCCAGACCAGCTGTTAACGCCTGTTGAAGAATCGGTGAAACAGTGAACTCTCAAGAATTGCGTCTAATATGGAGTCCTTAGCCTTGATCATTGATTTTATTAAGTCAAACTTCAAACAAACCAAAGGATAAAGGCCTTTTGCCGTTAGATTAAGTCATACGTGAATAAACTAGTTCAGTGGGGTTATTTTGTTTTCTCACTGTATTCGATGACCGTGAAACATTCACAACGTAAAGCAAACATTGCAAAAGTGGGCATTGAAATGCAAACGGAAGGTTTCAAATGAACGTGACATTAGCTGCCAGTAGGTTAGGTAAATGAACATGATGAACCCTCATTGACAGAGCTAGATAACACTTGAGGCAATTTACATAAGTCGACTTCGTTCATTTGTTTACAAAGGCGTTCAAAGACATTTTATCTAGTCACCCGTACAGTCACGCAAACGTACGAAATCGACCTATCTAATCCACCATGTCTGCTTTTATCTTAGAGGATTTGTTAAGATTAGGGTTTCAGAGGCTTTTATTTGTTAAACTTGTTGTTCAGTAATGTTGTCATGCTGTTATGGTTGAAAGAGCACATTGTACTTGGTGACTTTTCCGTCACCATAGCAAACTGCTTTGTTGTGGGACGTGGGAAGCAGCAACCTGTGATAAGAAAATAAAAACAATGATAAATTAGCCTTTTAGAAAACCGACCCACATCTTGTCAAAGGAATTTTCCTAATGAACATGTCATCCAACGGATAACGTAGTGAATTTTCCCTCGAGAGTTGTCAACGCTTGAATTAAGCTAAAAAGGAATGAACACAAACTCGAATTGACTGATACTAGGGTTGGTTTTAGTTCCACAGTTACGTGACCTAAATTATATTAAAACAAAAAAGGGATGAAATATTGTCGTTTGTATAGTAGTAGATAACCGATGACGTCAAAATGTGGTAGGAACAAAAAAAGTGGCAGACGGCTTGATGAAATTTATTTGTTTTATGTGACTAAAAACAAAAATTGTGACGTCAGCTATGCGTGTTTCCTCCAATGGATCAAAACTTAAGGACCACGTACAGTGCGTGAACAATTCAGCTAATCATATAAATTAATTTTGACATTACTCGCATCTAAATTCGGGAGATAATCGCAAATGTGTGTTTCAAATAACGTCTCTAAAAAGACCTGGTGGTAAGAAATCCCAGGTGTTTTAAGTGAATCGTGTACTCGCATTTTTGAACCAAATTTTTCCGGGTGGATGCTGAGAGTTTTTTAACAAGTAAGATAACCACCCTAACTAATTCATTTTCTTTGCTTCTTTACTGTGAATACGTTTAATTGAAAGCATTTGCGCTTTCCCCAACCCACTAAGGATTTTATAAACAAGACAGTTATAACTATTTTCTTGTCCTGTTTTAGATTCCGTCCATAATTCATTATGGCCTTTGTGGAATAGAAACTGTAACCTCGCGTATAGCACAATGGGAAGTTGCGTCAGCTCACAAGAGGCTGTCGTCATCTCTAACGAGACGATACAGCCGGACAAGTCAGAAAAGTCTGGCAAAAATGACAAACAGGACGATGGGTATGTACGTACTTTAGTTGCATACATTAGTAGTGATTTTAAACATCTAATATTCAAATCAATTTAGGCTAAAATATAGGCATGGTTAAATTTAAGTCAATCCAGCAGTTTACTCAAGAGGATGTGAGGAGCCCAGGGGATGTTTTTAGGAGCCTTACCATGTGCTCCCTCCCCCCCTCCCCTCGCCACTTATGGGAAAGTATTGGTTACCAGACCGGTTTGACGGTGCTGTGTTGACAGGTGACTGGACGTGGCTGTGGTTCAGTTGCCAAGGTGACTTCCTTGCTTCTGAAGGGATCTCTCCCCTCCTTCTTTACCATCTTGATGTTATCCACGAATTAATGTATTCTTTTTAAAGTTATCAAATGACCTTTTCTTCGTAATTTTGTGCGGTGTCGTTAACTTAACCCCACACTCCTAAACATCTACCTTCCTAACCACTTCGGCTTTTATCACCTATCCTACACCCACTTTTAACCACCTCAAGTTTATCGATTCTATCTTCTTTTTTCAGGGTCGTTATCAAAGCCAACACACCTTGTAAGTTTGCCTTGTTTGGTTTTCTCTATTACATATCTTCAATTCTAGATTCTAATTTACCGGAAAATCGTCCACTTTTATTAGTAGCGTTAATTAATTTGTCTGAATTTGCTTCCTTCATTTCAGGGCGTAACCTTGGTTATGAAGTCTACAAAGGACTTATGGGGGAAGAATTATTCAGAGAGAAAGTTGAGGAATTCGAAAAGGTGAAATTGTGTTATTCTTTTTGGAAGAGATATCAGTCCATCCCATAAACCCTTAATTTCGTATTCACTGAAAAATGTCTAATGCCAAAAAAACTTCTACACCAACCCATATATTCTGCTATGCTCCTGTTATATTTATTTCCCTTATTGAAAACAGTCCTACAACACTGGTACCTCGCACAACCGAAAACTTAGTCTTACGGGTTTTCCTTCGTTTCACCTAGCCTCTTCCTCCACCTGGACTTTTCGCTCAAAGCAGAATTGCATATGATACTACCAAACTCAAGTTAGTCTTTGGCGCGATCGTTTTAGTTAAGGGACAACGAGCAACTCACCCAGTTGGAGTTGGATCTGAGGGGATTGCGACAATTGTCTCTAATCCACAATTTCCAGCGTGTGAGTTTTTTACTCCTGGAACTACGTACCCAGTCTGCCTCCGTCACTCTACTATCAAGTCCGTGGATGACGTACTGACTGACTTTTGCGGCGGGGCGTTAAGGTTTGCCGGAAGTGATGAAATGGATAGTCCGTGCGATCTCATTATGGGGACTGGACCGACAACACCATTATGGAGTTCTCAGGCCATATTTGATGCAGTAAGAGCCAATATCACAAAGGATTTGAAAACTTATTTGCTTCTCGGGCCTGATCAGTAAGTGGAAGAATTCTGAAATTTTCAATTCACCCCTTTTCCGAAGGGTTTTTGCAAGGTGTTTTTTTACGTGTACGGATTCCTGTTTTTTAAGAACTTGAAGAAAAGAATTTTTTTTATTCATCAACAAAGTCGACGATGGAATTCTTAAGTTTTCCTTTCTTACGTTTACAGTCTCAAAGCCAACATTGGAGGTCTACGCCAAAAGCCTGAATCCTTTTACGACCAGCGATATTACTCAGAAGTGATTTTCGACTTCAAAGCATTCGATGAAGTGAAGCGTTACGTCAGATTCCGGCTGCTGCCCACTGATGGGCGACCAGAAACAGGCTTGTTGTCTGAGGAAGTCCAGTGGCAGCCATGGTGAGTTGGGAACGTCAAGTCTAACTGATATAGTGGTAAATGTAAATACCACGAGTTAGAGAAATCGAACCTTCGTAAAGTTGAATTTTACTTCGAGCAAAAAGATTTCATACAGTATATTTCCTGCAAATACGGGATGCAAATTTTCCAACTCCGGAATAAACAAAAGCTAGTACAAAAATTTCCACTGGATATTTTATTTCCTTACAGGATAAATGAAAGGTCACCCGATGAGACTTTACCAATGGACTACCTCAAGCGTGAGTACAAAGAGAGAGTTTCCAAGGGACCACTCGACTATAAACTACAGCTGCAACTCCATGAACCGAAGGAAAATGATCCTCCAACGATCCTTCAAGTTGGGAGGGAATGGGACGAGAAAACACATCCATGGCTTGATGTGGCTGACATCAAAATGACGTCACTATTGTCCCCGACGGCAACGGAACGCCTGAAATTTATTCATAAAAATCTTCCTGCCTCAATTGGTGTTTTACCAGCCGTATCTGTTGACGATCCCAATGTCGTTGTCCAAATTCGTAATGACGTGTACGTTTGGTCTCAGAAGCTACGTAAAAACAGATCAAACAAGCTTGTCCCAGAGCACCTGACATCCTATCTTATCCGCGTGGAAACTGGAGGCCAGTCTGGAGCAGGAACGGACGCTTCCATTTCTATTACATTAACAGGTGACGTACCTAAACTCTTAAGGTGATTCCTCAGAAAAAGAAGTTATCCATCAATTTTTTTTAACTTTCCTTAAATTTGTGAAAAAATCACGCAATTTTATACGACATCGACTCAAAACCTTCCTCGAATCGTTGCTTTCAAGGTCATAATTTGCATCATCGAGTAGCGGGATTTGTGTATGCATTTAGCTATTTTTTTCCCTTCGATGTATTTTTTTTTAATTTGTCCAATTTGAAGGGGATAATTTGCACACCAAGATTATGCAATAAAAAATATAGATCACTGTGCTCGTTCACTAGCTAAAGACCATCGTACCTCTCTACCTGGTCCATTTATTGAAAACAATGCCGTGTTTTCGGAATGCGCGCTTATTCGCCTGATTACGTAATTTTTATGCGTAGTACAGGATGCGCAATACTGAAGAATCACATTAAATGATTTTTGGTCTGATCGGTAAGCCATATATGGAGTCAAGATATCATTATACTGATATTTTATCGTTATTCAGGCACCAAAGGAAAGACAGATATGATTAAACTGGATAAATGGGGAAATGACTTTGAGAGAGGAGACGTTGATGAATATTCCGTTGAGGCAATGGATGTTGGCGAAATTCTTATGGTGCATCTTCATAATGACCAAGGTGGTTGGTGGTACAAGAATCCTGATTGGTTCGTGAACAAGATCGCGGTGATAAGTTCCTCTCAGGATGAGCCATTTGAGTTTCCATGTTATCGCTGGGTGCTATCTGATTTGGTGGTATTTGAAGGGAGAGGTATGTTCCTATATTTATAATATCTTTCCATCTGCGGGAGAAATCTTACTAAAGGTTTTGCATGGCTTTCGTTACAACTATGAGTGAATTCGATTTGTAGCTCTTCAGAGCTCTCCACAATTTATCGTATTCAGTTCTATGTCACCCTCACTCACCATCTTTACTTCTGCTCTTCATCCAGGGTAGGCGGCGAAAACATCAACTTTTTACTATCCCTTATCACGACTCGAGTGCTTCTCCAGGTTGTCTCTATTTGTTACCCCATCTGTTTTTCCAAGCAGGCAGATATAGATCTATACTTCGCTTTCCCTCGAAGACGGTCGAATCGAGTAACACTTCCTTTCCCTCTATACAGGTTCTCTAACATGACAACGTTTTTCACCTAAATGAAAATTCCTAAGCAAAATGACCAAAGCACATTCCGTTGTCACACCTTTAACCCTATTCCTGTGCGACATGGATGACCCATACGGGACCTGTAGAAGTTTAGCCAACACAGCAAATGGATAATATTTTTGGTCGGACAAAAAGTCTTAGGCCCAAATCAAGTTTATTTCAATATGGTGCAAAATCAATATCTTACTTGTAGAAAAAAAGTAGTAACACACTTTTTGTGGAAGTATCTTCCCCTTTATCTTATTTTTTTTTTATAAATACGAATAGCGTCAATCGAATACTTAGATTATAGTATGGCAAATAGATAAATTTCAGCATGTTTTCCATACTCTATTTACAGCTACTCTTCCATTCCAAGAGCAGCCAGATGCCGTTAAAAACCAACGAATTTTTGAAGTAAAAAATCGCCAGGAGTATTACAAATGGGGAAATCAGGAGGTGTACCAGGAACTTCCTGGTTATCTTCAAGCAGCGACACATGCAGATATTCCAAGGGATTCGCAGTTCTCTGATGAAGCTAGGAGCACCATAAAGGAAGACATTAAAAAAGCGATTTTAAAACTCGGTCTCGGTTATTTGATGACACTTTTCGACAGCTGGGACAATTTCGATGATTTTGAAAAGATCCTTCAGAGCCTTAATCGTGGTCGGCTGAAGATAGTCGAAGATGACCGATGGATGACCGACGAGGTATTCGGGTCAATGTTCTTGAACGGCGTAAATCCGAACATCATCCAGCGCTGTGAGAAGTTGCCAAAAAATTTCCCTGTCACTGAAGAAATGGTGAAAAGCTGTATGAATCGAGGAACGACTCTGCAAGAGGAAATGCAGGTATGTTTTACTATAAAACGCATCGTGCAAAGTGCGCGTCAAAACAACCTGCTTCATAGGATACTATTATAAAAAATAAAACGTCCTAGACAAAACGATGTTGAAGTGGAAGATAAAGAAAATATCCGACTCTCTGAAAGACGAGATGGCTCGTATACTAGATTTGATATTGGCAATGCCGAAGGATTCCTGTCTTGCAAATGAGAAACAGGGGTCTAGTGCAGAAATATTAATTATTATGAAATAAATTTTGCAAAGTTCTTTTTACAACTATTTCTTGCACATCATAATGTCAATTCAACTGTTTTTCAATAGGCAGGTCACGTGTACATTGTTGATTACAAGATGCTTGAAGGAATTCCAGATAGAGAGGGCACTTACTCTACACAACCTCTGGGTCTGTTTTATGTCAACGCTTCAGGCGACCTGGTTCCCATTGCCATTCAGTTTTTCCAGCAACCAAGCGACACCAATCCAATATGGACTCCAAGTGATTCTCAGTATGATTGGCTGCTGGCAAAGATGTGGCTGCGTAGTGCTGACTCTCTAGTACAGCAGGTATTTCTCTAGATCATGCTATTTTATTAGTGGACCCCTTTAATTTAAACGTCATGAGTCGTCAACTTGTAGCCGGACCATAGGCTGATGAAAGAGAGACTGCTCAACAGGCGATCATTAGAAATGGAACTTGTTGTCCATTAGGCATATTTCTCATAGATTAGAACCACATCTTACCAAGAGATCAAAAACAGCCCATGAAAGGGTGGCTTGTAACAAGAAAATGCCTCGTGTTTCAAGGTTGATATTTGCGGTACATTTTATTTTCATCTCTATCCTTGACTAGGTTTGTTCCCCTTCAGTTAAGCAGTTCTGGAATTGCTTCTTTAGTATACGTAAATTATTAAGACCTCTTTGCGATAAAATAAATTTCCTTCAGACTTAGATCATAAAAACAACTGAACATGTTGACACGCTGATTTTGCGCTCCTTTCTGAGTTGTAATCTATTAACTCTTATTGATAGAGAAGGACACCTTTCTTCAACTTTCTGCAGGTAAATACCCATCTACTCGAAACCCATCTTGTAATGGAACCATTTGCTGTGGCGGTATGGCGACAGCTGCCCTCGATTCACCCTGTCTTTCAGCTCCTTTTTCCACACCTTCGCAGTGTGATGGCGATCAATAACTTCCTTAGAACTGGCTTTGTAGCTGAGAACAAAAGAGCCCAAGAGATCCTTAAGAAAGGTTTCAAGACTTTCAAGTTTGGTATGCTTTCACTTCCCGACGCCTTAAAAGACAGAGGTGTTGATGATCCGGAGAAATTACCCAAGTTTTATTTCAGGTGATTGCTAAGAAATGTACCTCAGAATCATCTTTGAATTAGATCATTACAAGCTGCTTCTTAATTTTTGGTCAATGCCGTGAATATATACTACCTTTCACAGACCTTTTGTTTCCCCAATTTCGTTATAAAGGAAAATTAGTATGTGTGACGAGCTGAAAAGTGTAATCATCACTATCACTGTTTTTCTTATTTCCAAAACCCTAGTTGCCTGGATAAAATTACCAATTTTCTGTTTCTTAGGGATGATGCCCTCTGTCTTTGGTCAGCCATTACATCTTTCATAAAAGAGGTCATCATCCTTTATTACAAGTCAGATGATGACGTCACCAACGATAACGAGCTCCAAGCTTGGATTAAAGATGCTCATGACAACGGCTTTTTAGCGGGGGAGGTCGGCGACGACCACGGATGTCCAAACGGCCTTGAAACACGTAATCAACTCATTCATGTGCTAACATGCTTGGTGTTCACGTGCTCATGTCAGCATGCTGCAGTAAACTTTGGTCTGTTAGATGTGGCAGGTTTTGTTCCCAATGCTCCCTCGGTGATGCGCCAACCGCCTCCTACGAAGAAAAACGAGACAACTCTCAAGTCCATTATGGACACACTGCCGAGCAAGTCCCAGGCTGCTCAACAAGTAGCGTTGGGTTACGTCTTTACACAATTTGCAGAGGATGAGGTAAGCTTCTGTCAAGCTAGGCTTTGAATCCACGAGTAACCAGTGATTTCGCGCTCAACCCTCTTTGCGGATTCTTCCCCTAACGTAAAAGGAATTCACCCCGACCTTCACCAGATTGCCCCAATTTTAAGGAACTTAGTTTTAGGCTTCCCCGTTCCTTTCTCTTGAGAAATATTCCCGGCAACTTACTAGTACATCTCCTTTTCAATTTAAATTGAACTTCTTCCTCAATAGGGACAGCCTGACAAAAAAGAGCCCCTAAATATAATCATGTTATTCAGTTAAAGATATCATATTTTACAACGCAACTCTCCAATGTCAGATTTTACACCATCCATAGGTGTGGTGAATTTGCTCACAGTTCTTTAACACAACCTCCGTTCTATTCCTCTCATAGCGTTATATCGGTGACATTACACACAGCCTCTTGACTGGTGACGAGGAAGATGCCGCCATGACTCGTTTCCAAGTCGCTCTTCAAAAGATCTCCGATTCGATCAAAGCCCGCAATGAATCATTGGAATTGCCGTACATCTTCCTCTTACCCGAGAGAATTCCCAATAGCATTGGTGTCTGAGGTTAATAGACAAAATTGAACAATAAACAATTTTGCAGAAGAAATACGGCGCTTTTAAGCCCATAAGTTTGTTGTGCGGTGTATATTGCATTTGGCATTGGCGTCAAAGACATTATCGCATCTTTTTTTTGTTTCGTTTTTGTTGCTGTTGACATCTGGTTTTGGCCTCTAGTTACAACAGTTCTCGAGGTTTGTTATGTAGCTGTTTATAATTTTCAACTATGCGTAATTACACTTATCCTGGTCTCAGTGTGGGATCCATGCTATGTTTACCTTCCTTTCAGAGAATAATGTCGAATTTTTCTTTGAAAGTGAATATATTTATCGCAATATTTACACGGATAACAATTACACAACATTTTTTAATTTTTTTTTATTTTGCCTGCCTTGATGAATAGTTCTATTTTTATACAAGTTTTTAAACTCAAGTCCTGATCATAGAATTTTTTCTATGACAAAACGTTTACCATTTATTGCGTGACAGAGAATTTATAAAAATAAACCTCCTTGATATTTTTAGATCCATTCTAGGTTATTTCTCTACGCTTGTAACCCACTTCAGGTCATATATTTCTAAAGACTGAGAATTACAGTACCATTTACTGGCGAATATCTATTGCTAATAATCTTTCACACTGAATTCATAACTATTATATTCGCTCCTAAGAGTACGTATCTTGCTAATTCATGGGAGGAGCCACGCCCCTTTGCTCTCTCCTTACACACACTCTTTTCTGTTCTTAATTTGGTTATGTAACAGTTTTTAGGTGATAATTTTTTTTATCACGAAGAGTTTCAGCAACTATGATTTCCAAATAAATAGAATATGATCGAGGATCAGATGCTAGAGAAAAAATTTATACAACTCTACCATTCATTTTCGAAACATTGATTTCAGAAGATTAATAATCTAATTATGCAATTCGATTAGAGTTGTACTAAAAGAGATATCTTGGAAGAAATTCCAAATTTACGGAAAAGAATAATATACTCAAACAGAAGATATCAAGAAAATTTTCAACCAATGGCGCTGTAGTGACTATCGCCTTTGTCTTCGAGATTCCATCTATCAGTTTAAAAGTAGTAATTTTCGGGTGAAGAATTTAATAATATTGAGAAGTGCAGTCTAGCAATAGGTTGCCACCAAGGAAGGCTTGGCGATCTTTTTTTCCAATATTTGAACTTGACGCGAGAGACTGGAACGGACTGAGGGTGTGTCTTAATTAATTCTGCAGTTTCTTTCTTTTCACGCTCGAAGCTATAAATATTCTTAAGCTTGATTCTAGTATCGCAATTAATTTTCCAATCGAAGGGGTGTGTTTTGAAACAGAATTATTGCCATTTGAGGTGAGTTGCAAGACTTATTTCGTAGAGGTCAGCCGTGAGTACCACTATTCATCTTTTGGCTATTATTGTTGTAAACGTTTTATATCAGTAATAGTTTGGGATGTCAAGCCGAAAAAAAAAGGACAACCGAAAATAAATATTAACCGCCAGCTATTGTCTTTCCCAAATCGCCCCGTGCACTTCTTGTGGTGCATCTGTGTGCGTGTTTCGATGTGGAGTTTTTACACTTGTAAGTTATTGTACATATCTGGTGAATTTTCAAAATATTTTGCCGAAATCTTTCTAGTTCGTCATCGTTTGAAGTTCGTGAAGCGTTTACCTCCTCCTTCCTGTGTTTCCCCTTATTTTCATTCATTAAAGAAAGTAACATCGACTCTTGCTTTCGGGCCTGGCCAAATCTTGATGCTGTGTGTTAATCGTTAGTTTTCCTCTCCACTAGCAAATTTGCCAACCGAATATTTCTCTACCAGCAGATTTCGGTGTAAATTCTTCTTGCATAATGCATACGCTTCGCCGAGACAGGAGACTAAGAAGACACTAAGGGATTATGTCGAAGGATAAATGCTTTGTCCACTGCAGAGCTCAGGGCTTTTTCTTCCTTTTGTTTCTACATAACAAAAAGAAAAGTATTTGAAGTGAAATTAAAATCGACAGTAGTTCTAAGTTTCTATTTTCTTTTTGATATTAGCCAGTTCCGTTTGCAACTGACTTTAAGAGTTTTCGGAGCAACTGCAGAATTCCTTGCCACTTTGGTCCACCTCGAGCTCATTTACATGTGTCGAGAGGCTTTGAAGATCGGGGTCTAACACAGTAAACGTTATTCTTATTCAATGACATGTAAATGAATGGCAAGGTATTCTGCAGCTTAGCCGAGTTTTCCATTTCCAATTTAAAAAAAATTCAATGAACTTGTCAGTTACTGAAATAAAGAAACAAAGCCTCGAAAAGAAATGCTGGATCAACTGCAGAATACCCTGCCACTTTGGTCCACCTCATTTACATGTGTCGGGAGGCTTTGAAGATCGAGGCATAACACAATTCAAATTCAAAAACAATTCTGTCATTCATCAAACTAAACAACAAGATAGAAGCAGATAGGTAGCGAATTTAAGAAAACTAAGGTAAAATTTCCGCACAGCCCCATACTATTGTAAAACAAATCTGTTTTCCCAATGGCAATATATTACTTTTGTCATTGTTTTCTTTATCCAAGAACTGAATGCATAATGTAGTATGGGGCTGTGCGGAAACTTTACCAAAACGAACGACACTTTTAAACTTAAAAAAAATGTTTCTACAGTTCTTCTGTCATCTTCAGTTCTGAATAAGACAAAGTACAAAAGTTGAATTTAAAGAGTGTAACAAAATGTTGATTGGACAAAACAAACAATAGTAACAAAACGATGTATTCATTTATAAGGAAAGTTTTAAATTAACATGGTAAAGTTGGTGATTAAGAGTAGGTTTCTCCCATTGAATGTGGATAGCTTCTTTGATTTTAAGCTAGAAAGTTGTGGAAGCGTGATCTAGGGTGTTAAAACATTCATCAGAACAAAGAGTGCGACATTGCAGAGAATTGTGTAGATGTCTGAAAATGTGAGAGGTCCTGTCTTTGTATTTTCCTCAATTTACAAATTGTGAGAAATTTTGGCGCTGATAAATTAAGATGTGAGGCGAACATTTCGTCCGTCCTAGAATGGGTCAACCTTAGATTCTGAAGAGATCAACTCAATCGAGAAACGTGATTCCATTCGACCTACAGGCATCGAAATTCGTAACGAAAACACTTCTCTGCTTGATTACTTATTTCAAATCTATGCGTCGCAGAGCAGATGCCTTCGATTTGTAGCCGTTCTTCGTAGTGGAGTAACTGGAACCTCCGAGGCGAGTAAAGGTATCATTTTTGATGCTCAACACTAAGACCCTTACTTCATTCTATGAAAATTGTGCACACTTTTTACCATCAGTCGGAGCCTGGGAATGAAGAGCATTGAGAAACTGGAACGGTAAATGCGCCTGCGTATGCGAATAATTGTTTTATTTCTTGACGCTGTTCCTTTCTTACAACGCTTCGCACTTGTATTGTCGTGCTGTCGCCGAACGAATTTCACCTTGCCTAACTCCTTGCTTGTGTTATGGAATATATCAAGCCTTTTTCTGATGGCACAAACAAGCTAGACAATGGGCGAATTGTTCCGCCTAATTTATCTGCAGTCGGCTCATTAAGACACTAAAATTATCTGAATTTACTGAGTGCGACAAAGCATCGGATGAGAAGATAAGGAGACTTAAATAAAACATTTACAGTACCGTAGTTTTCATTCTACGTTTGTTTTCCTCCATGCCGAACCATCCTTTCGGTTCCTTCTTGGGTTCATTTCAATCTGTCTGTGATGGAATCAAATGTGTTAAACTATCCGAGTGTGTTGTTCTTTTTGTTTCCGTTAAGAAAGCGTACGTAGTCGAATGTGATGGTCGAATCAATCTGATTAACTCAATTGAGACCCTCTTGTAACGAAAAATTTTCTTTTGGTCAGGGTTAACGATGGTTGACGCATTCAAAGTTTACTGTCCACTTACTCAATTGTTATGCATTTAAGAAAATTATTATTTGCAGTCCTTGGAGGATTTTGTTGAAGAGCAATTAAATCGTGACAGAATCTGTTCCGTTACACTCAGAAACTCCGAGCAAGAGAAGACGTTTATTGACCGAAGACAAGAAGCATGAATAAAACGAACGAGCAGGCAAAAAAAAGGGAACAAAGGTGCCGCGCTAATTATGTGCCAACCGTGTGACAACGAGGCTAACTAAACAACAGCGTGCAAACGAGGCGGAACAATGAAGCAGACTAAACGACAGCGTGCACAATGCGTCGCGCCATGCGAGCTAATGGTGGGAACTAAACAACAATGCGAAATATGGCGCATAGAATATATAAAGAGTAGAATATTATCTAACTATGTAGTAATAGGAAGCAAGGTAAGAGAAAATGTGGTGGACAAATTAGTCCAAAATAATAATAAAATATATAATATATAAATAATAAAAGCCTGCTTTTCAAAAGTTTGATAGGAATCATTAACTTCATACCTTCGAATTCGTGGCCGTTTTCTTAGAACACAAAGCACTTTGATTGCATTCTGCTGAATTTAAAATGGCGACTGTCATTTATATAGTGTCGTGCCACCCTCAAAAGATGGGAAGATACACCAATCCTCCACTGCGCCTCGGTTTTGCGCGACGGTCCAATCCATTTATCATTGGAGGATGCCGCATTTACACAGGATTAGTCTTCTAGTTGTAAGATTTACGAAGGGAGGGACCCTCAGGGCGACTGTGAAAAAGTGAGCGTGGGCTCAGAACAGTAATACTTGCCTCTCCTCGATTGCAAACTGCGCTTTTGTTCGTGTTCAGAACCTCACCATTTGACCCAGTCATTCGAATTACCTGAAGTGAGTACCTTCCTCATTTTTGTGACCTAATCCAAATTTCTGTAGCTAGACATTTCGCTTTTGAAGAGTTTTTCGTATATTTGCCAAGGCAGAAGGAAGGGGCAACCATTAATACGCCTCCGCTTAACTACATATCTTGTAGGCTAAAAATTGCTCAAACGTCGCCATCGTTGCGCGAAATTTACCCACTTAATGCTCCTCGTGTGTAGCGCGACAAGACTTTCCTTTTGTCGAACTTCGTTTTGAGAAACGTCTTGACTCGACGCTCGCAGAACTAACAGTATGTGCAAACTGATTTTCTTCTAGCAAGAAAATATGAACGACTTTGGTATTGTCAGAGATTTGTGCCGTTAGAAAATTGCAACGAAATATTCTCGGTCAGAGGATAGAATTAACTAGTTCCGATGTTTTTCTGTCCTGTGTGCAAATATCATAAGTCCTTTCTTTGTAAATTGGTCTTATTCACGTTCGCCCTTGATTTGCATCGAATGAAAGCTTTAAATCCTAAAGGTTTTAGGTGAACTGGAAAGGGCAGTTGTCATTCGAATAAGGTTTAAAAAAATATGAGTTCGAGCTATGATATTGCATGATATTGGTGAACCTATAAGACAAACTGGTGCAGGATTTATAACATTTTGACTGAACAAATTAAGATTCAAATAGGTACTGATTGTATTCCTCTGTTGGCTTTCATTTCGAATTTATCCTCGTCAATTTATTAGGAGTTTTGTCTTCCCCTCTGTATTCTTTGAAAAAGTAAACGTTTTCTCACAATTGATCGACGTAAAATTACCTCAGGTGAAAGGCCTTTATGATATTGGTACAAAACAGCGCCCCTCTTATAATACTGGAAATACGTTTGGAACTACTATTTGTAGTTCAACAAGACTTTTCCAGGTGAATGAGACATTTTAAATAGACATGTAAATGCGAAATTGTCAAAGTGGGATGAAAATGCTTTTGAAATTTGCCCTACACTGCCCTACATTGCTATTGTTTTTGACGTACTCGTCTGGCTAATTAAGCCTCTAGACTTTTGTATTAATTCCCGACAAGAAATCAAAGGGATTATTCAACGATATTCACCAAGAAATTGTTTCAGCGGAATTGTTGAGACGAATGTCAGAGCAAAAAAAAGGCGTAGATTCTATTTATAAATTTACTTATTTCATCATTTAATTCCTAATAAGATGCATAAAAAAATGACTCGGTTCTGATTGGTTAAGATAAATGCAGTTTTCAGAGAATTCAATGCCGAGGAGGGT